CGTTCGAGTACACGTCGACCAAGAGTATTTTCACCATGACTGCAGGCAATGTCGAGCTCAAGGTCACGTTTCTATCGCCGCTCACCCCAAAGGACTACAAGCGCCAATCACTAATCTTCTCGTACATGGATATCGAGGTTTCATCACTTGATGGATCTGAGCATGACGTGCAGCTGTACACCGATATCAGTGCAGGTAATTATGTGTTTCAAAACTTGGAAATAACTGGAAACTAATGTACGATAGAGTGGGCGTCTGGTAGTTTAACCGAGGTAGCCCAGTGGGACTTTGGATCCACAGATGGTCTCCTGTATCACAAGGTCTGGAAACAAAACCAACAAACCTTCACCGAAGTCAGCGACCGTGCAGAATGGGGCAATTGGGTGAGGCTACTATCCCCCGCTTCAAACATGGCCAAGACTAACCTTTTTAGTACTATGCCACCAAACAAGTCGACGGCCTTACTTACATGTCCGGAGCTGATGTCGATGTTCGGAGCATGTTCGACAAAACTGGCAGTCTTGGTAACCGGAAAGACATGAAGTTTCGTCCCATCAACCAAGATTGGCCTGTCTTTGGATATGCGCTGAACATGGGTTCCGTCGGTGCTACCCCAAGAAAGCAGCTGTTTACCATTGGTCTGTGCCAGGAAGATGCCATCCACTTCCTCGGCGGAACAGGACTCACCATACTCCAATCGCTGTGGAAAAGCTACTTTGGCAACGATCTCGCTGCACTATCATTCTTCTACCACGACTACGACGAATCAAACAAACTTTCTACTGACCTCGATACTCAAATCTCCGGCGATTCCAAGGCGGCAGCAGGCGACAATTATGCCATCTTGACTACTCTGGCTGCCCGTCAGGCATTCGGTGCCACCCAACTTGTCGGCACCCAAGACAAGTACTTTCTCTTCCTCAAAGAGATCTCATCAAACGGCAACACCCAAACCATCGACGTCATCTACCCAGCCTCACCTATATTCTACTACACCAACCCCGACCTCGTCAAACTAATGCTAGACCCGCACTTTGAGAACCAAGAAAACGGCCACTACCCCAACAAGTACGCCGAACACGACCTAGGCACCCACTACCCCAACGCCACCGGCCACCCTGACGGCAACGACGAAGCCATGCCCGTCGAGGAATGCGGTAACAACATGGCCATGGTCCTCGCCTACGTCCAACGCTCCGGAAACACAGCCTACATCCAACAACACTACGCCATCCTCAAGCAATGGGCGTCGTACCTCGTAACCGACAACGCTGCTCCCTGCCCTCCAACTCTCCACCGACGACTTCGCCGGCACTTGCCAACCAAACCAACCTCGCGCTCAAGGAGATCATCGGCCTCGCCGCAATGGGCGAAATGTCGCGTCTCGTCGGCGACACCAATAGCTCAGATTACTACACGTCGACCGCAAAAGACTACATGACTAAATGGCAAACCCTCGGTATTAATAAGTCTGCAAATCCCCCTCACGCTACTCTCACCTACAACGACGCTTCCACCCACGGTCTTCTGTATAACCTCTACAACGACGCCCTTCTATCCACCCACCTCGTCCCGGACTCCGTCTACACCATGCAATCCACCTTCTACCCCACCATCAAGCAGCAATATGGTGTACCCCTCGACACGCGCAATCCCTTCTACACAAAAGGTGACTGGGAAGTTTTCTGTGCTGCGGTCGCGAGTAGCAGTACGAGGGATATGTTAATTGGCGATTTGGCAAAGTGGGTAGGCGAGACGTCGAGCTCGGAGCCGTTTTCAGATCTTTACGAGACGAATAGTGGGGTTCAGACGCCCGGGATTGATTTCAAAGCCAGGCCGGTTATGGGCGGTATGTTTGCGTTGTTGGTGCTTCCCAAGGGGTATGTGGCGCCGCAGTAGAGTGGTGGTGATGATTGTGCATTTGCTTTTTGCGGTACTTCCTCGAAATGGCTGTTTCGGGAGGGAGGACTTGCTTTGCTGGCGTTTGGATGCTTGATTTGGGGTTGGGTTCTTTTTTGGGGCGCTTTCCTAGATGCGTCCGGGAAGAGCAATGCTGAGGCTACATAGAGGAGATGATGGCCTGAGATTGTTAATGTAATGAATTATGATCACTTTTACCTATTTCATCAACATTGGCTTGTACTCAGATGTGAGTAAGAGAGGAAAGAGTTCTGTCAACATGCAGTGACAAGATCCAATGTACAAGAAGACATATAACAAAACCCCAGAAAAAAGATTCCACTCCTCTCCAACCACCACCCTCACTTCCCCTCGCCCAAATCCTCCAACGCCAGATCCGCATCAACATTCCCCTCATACTCCACATCCTCGACCCACTTCTTCGCCAGAAAAAAATGCCAAATCCCTACCGTACAAACCCCCAGCCCCAGCCCCATCCAAACAACCGTCTTTACAACCGAAAATATCGTTATACTAGCCAAATACCGCAGCCACGGCGTGATAATCTGCTGCCGTTCAACCTACAGCATCATCGTCTGTCAGCACACATCTCCCCACTCCCAATTCACACCCACATAGATGCACATGAAATTCGAATTAGCTAAAGACTAGGAGAGGTATGGATACGTTACCTCTAAATCCGGATTAACACAATACAACAACAGCACCAACGCCGCCAGGATAAACCCCAAGAGAACAACGGTGAGTACTTGTATTACAGCAAGTAAAATCGATATATCGCGCGTGGTGCGCAGGACCTTGAAGCCGGCGGCTACGAGGGGCGTGACTTGTTCGAATGCTGCGTTTATCTGTCGGGAGTAGGGTAGGCCCATTTTGTGCTAGTTTTTTTTTCTCTCTTTGTATTTTGGAGATGCGGAAACGAGGGAATGTGCTGGGTGTGGGTTGCTAGGTTGGATTGATGGGCGCGTGGGAATTAAGAGATGGGGAAATGAATATATGCGATGATGGATAGGATGGGAGATATGGAAATCGATATGTATGTCATGATATAGCGGGGTGCAGGATCTGGGTGTGGGTGTGATGTGCGTTGTAGATGGTTAGACGGGATGAGCCGCTGACGTCATATGCGCTGGGTGGGGTGAAGGATTCCGATTTTTAGTGGATGGGTTTTTGTTACGGGTTTAGAGTCGTTTCATGTGTGGTAGAGTCTCTGAGATGTTACTAAACACGACAAGCAGAGTAAGAGATGTCACTTACGAGCCAATTCCGCGACCGTATTTGTTGACTTCCCAGCCAAATTAAATGGCAAATCGAGGACATTGTCTACGTACTGTATTGCACCAGCTTTCAAGAGTGGGAATGTGACATGATCGGAGATCCCAGGGAAGGATAGCCATCTTTGGTCGTTATAACGATTAGCTAGATGAAAGATTACATATAACAGACTCACACGAGAGGAATATCATCAATATGCATCAAGGTAGCGAGTCTCTAGCGTAGTCTATACGCGATCATAAGCTATATGCCCATCTAGAATGCCCAAACCCGACCCAGATACATGCAATACCAACGCCCAGTATACATGCCTATTCAACCCCCTCCCCTAGTATACCCTCTCACAAAAACGCCGCTGCCGCCGCCGCCGCCATAACCCCGAACTCCGCCCCTAACCACCCACTCGCTATCGCCGTCGGCACCGCACCCCCCGTCGACGTCGCCGTCGTCTGCCTTCCCGCAATAACGCTCCTCACAATACTAAACTGGTCCTGCACCTGCTGTTCCTTGAACGCCCTCGCCCTACTCGGCAGCGCCGTGTACCAGTCCGGTTTAGAAAAGTACGTCGGCGTCTCATCCGCCATTGTGACTTCAGCTGGTATACTATAGTTTGTGGCTGTCCTGACGAAGTTGTCGATTTCGGAGCGCGCAGACGTGAGAGAAGCTTGGTACGAGGGGCCGAGTGAGGCTGTGAAGCGGCCGTAGGCGAGTTTTGCGTTGAGGAAGACGGATGTGGTCCAGCTGGCTGCCTAAAGGAAGGGGGTTAGTAAGAATATTGGGGTATAGGTGGGCTGGGAGGTGTACATCGGCTGGGTTTGGGAAGCTAGGGATGGCGGTTGTGGGAATGGGCGGCTCGGTGTAGACCATGAAGTCTGCGGTGCAGCACGCCGCAGCGGCTAGGAGAAGAAGGCCAGTTTTCTTGAACATGATTTTCTGCGACGTTAAAAGCCTGCGGATATGAGAAGAGTAGCGAGAGGAATCTACTGCGATGCGCGGCGGTGAACAAGAGGGAATGACAGATGCGCACGCTCTAGGGCTACCAAACGGTGAGTAGAAGGAAGTAAGGAAGCAGATGTCACAAGTGTCTGGCGTTGATGACACAAGACATCATCCATCATCCAAGACTTTGGCCTCGTATCAAACCGTTCCTGCTCCACATTTAGTTCATGGCGTCGCAATGTCCTGGGCACCGCGTGGCGCTGGACATGGATGAAGAGCGAACGAGGCTATGCAACGGGAAACGGGACGCGCATATCCCGGCGTTAAGCGCCGTTTTAACCCCGGGCCATGTGAACTCGCTAAGCATGTCCGGGTTTCCCGCGGGGACAGCGGGTTACATGGCTACTAAGTCTAGTACACTGGTATTCTAGAAATGCTGTAGACTTAGTAATCGCTGTTTTGACTAGGTAGTCAAACTTAGATTCAACCGCGGACCATCGTCATGACATTCACTCGATACTCCAAGCCGCACTATCTCGAGATCAGGACATTCCACTACCAGCCTATCCAGTTGAATTGTAGAAGTCGTTTTAGATCCTAGGTACTGTGCACCTCTCTAACATCTTGAATCTAGGGAGAAAACGGCCTTGATTGGCTTAAGTAGCGTCTCCAAGGACCAAGACTTCCAAGACTCGAATTCTGCTGCCCATGTCTACTAATCTTCCAAGACCTCCCCGCTTCCTGCAGGCTCAGATATCACCTCGCCCTGGTATTTCGGGCGTGATTTGATCCACTAGACACCGCTCATACTTCCGCATACTTAGTCGTTGGGAACATATCATCCAACACTCTTCTCAGTAGCACTCCGAAAGCCAATCTCAGACTGAAGCCTTTTCAAGCCATCTCGGCGAAGAAACAATAGGGCAAGATAGATCTCGAGAAAGCCTCTGATAGCCTGCAGGATCATGCCTATAGCTAGATTTCGTCATGAGCATATCCAGGTTGTCTTTAGTTGTAGTTTAGGTCTCGCCAATGTGTTCGTATCCATATCGCTATGCTTCGGTTTCCTCCCTTCCTATGATATGAAAGACCGCGGCGATGATCAAGCCTCCACGGTTTTCAAACTCAAGTGCCCCCTCGTCCATGGTTGTGAGAGCGCCTAGGGTGGTCGGGATGAATAATAAAGCGGTGGCGATCCATTGGTAAGGAAATTGAGAGCGCTCTTCGTTTTCGACAGGACAAAGAAAATGTGCGGCATCGGAGGATTCGTTAAGTCAGGCAAACACATTGGCTGCCTTGACTGTGGCTTCTCAAGAGCATCCGTACCCCTCTCGCGTTTTTCTACTGCGATATTGCCTATTACCCAAAATCAGAGTCACCTGCAATGCTTAAATCGTATTAAACATCTTTATCAAGAAGCTCGTGTGTGTGTGGGTGGGCGATGTCTCGTTTGCGTGGTTCGACTAGGAAAGCTAGATTGGCTAAAATGCAGTGAGTACGATGCACATAAGATCCTGGCCTACCCAACCCTCTCCATGTAGTTTTAGATTCCGTGATGAGGATGAGAAGGCGGGGATGATACTATCGCCCATATATTAAGCCTATACAAAACTCCCTGGAAGGACAAGATGTTTTGTGCGATATCGATATCGAGAGCGCGAGATGTTTTGTAGCTCGCCAAGTTCTCGTTTCTCCCCACAGTCGCGAAGAATCGGGTCTTAAGGAAGATGCGTGAGCCGTCCGAATCATCTACCAAATTTGGGTACCGTCGCTGCCTTCCAGATCCATATGTTGCGGTAGTTAAAACAATCAACTCTCATAGTATTCCGTCGATTACACTGTTGTGTGAAGATAGAATGTGCTACGAATTGTCCAGTTCCCGCATCGACATAAGCGGGCGGACCAGAAACTGGGCACTTCTTGGCTGACGGTCACACCATATCAGTGGAGACTTTCTATGATAGACATTGGCAAACTCCCACGGTTCAGTGGCGCCGATCACGAGAGGTCGAGAGGAACACGAGAAGAAAAGCCTTCGAAGTCTAGCCTAAGCGAGTAGTTCCAATCAGGCGTTTGGTTCACACTGGTGGCCGTAAAACACGAGAAAGTCGACGGACTCGTGATGCACGGAAGACAAGTCCGATAGAATAGATCCAAGCTCAGCTCTGAGATACTCTAAGACATTTTGATCTAGGGTGATTCGTCCATGGTCAACAGATGTCAGGTGTCCGGAAATAGCCTGGATGGACGATCGTGTCTACGAGCGGGCTGGGGACCGAGTGGCTACTGCTCTGGAACAAGATCGGCGTGGATTGCGCATCTTATAGATTAGCATGATATATCAAAATGTCCATCTCACTGTGTAGAATGAGAGTTGCCATACAGAACATGTCTCATCACGAGTCTCTCATTGAAGCGCAAAGTACGAGTGTCGGTTCTGAGTTGGTTTTCTGCGACTAGGCTGTGGGTCGGGCGTGATGGCGTATCGATAGAAAATTCATCCAGGACTGAAACGAAGGAACACGAGCCATGTGAACCGGAGATGGTGCCGCTCGACTCGTCATAGAAACACAAAGGCGCTGAACTGTGCCCCCTCGATACGGGATGTGAAGAAACATTACATCTTAGAGCAGCCACAAGCCAATACCTTGCTATCACAACACTTGCTCATCTCGTGGCACACTTGAAGCAGCCACCGACCTCGTCAGGTGATATCGCGGTAAGCTTTTTAGCCTAATACCCCGGTGGCGAGGCTCAAGGGTAATAATGTTGTTTTTTGCTTTGTGGCGCTTGTGCTGTCTAGACGGCGGCAAACGGGACGAGATTCTGGTAGGAGCTCCAGAGATCCTATGTGCACCCGCTTCGAGCTGCCTGCCATTGGACTCTTCGTATCGGTCGGAGATCCCGCTCACGAGGGGCCCGGGCGCTGGGGTCCAAATAGCTGGCTGCGCATGATCAAGGCCGGGGCACACATATCAAGCTCATATCGGCACAAACCAGGGCCTGAAACAAGTGCTCTAAGCCTTGTTGGCACAGCGACTTGCAGCGTGGGATCATGTCAATTCATCGTTGTGGATCATCGTAGGTCGCGGTGGATTTGCGGAGCTGACTCGTCGTGCTTTGTTACGCTCCGCATTTCGCGATGCAGGAAAGTTCCCGGATTCAAGGGACGCGATCACACAAGACGCCTCCAACACGTTAAACAAGGCATTCGACGTGGCAGCAATACGTCCATCGATAGTTGAGAAGCGGACATGGCTGGGATAGCGGGAAGACAGGGGATGCGATAGGATGCGGGCAAGCATTGAAGAAGCAACTAAAGCATCAGCCGCCCATGCAGGCTATTCGAGAAAAATCTGAAGGGGACAACGGCCAGATCTTCCTGCCGTAGGAGCTGAGGGCGTCTTTGGGGCCAGATCTCCCTGCCGGCAACACACCCAATATTATCGCAATTCAGCCAATGTATGGTAGATGGACGGCGCGCCTTGTCGTGTGCTCTATGCCTATGGCCAACGCCTCAATCTCATGGTGTTGGAACTGCCATGGGCAAACGAGCAGCATCCCGTTGGCGGCGGTGCCCAGGAATCGCCCAGACGTAAGCGATGACGCCCGTAATTACCTAGGTAGGTGTGGTTGGAAGTACGCTAATCAGGGATGTTCGTGTTGCAGAATGCACTATTAAGGATCAAGGCCGTTCAACGGGGTAAATCATGACTGTCAAATGTGGCGGGTACTTGTCGCGTGGGAGGTGGTATCGTTGAAGTTTCCCCATGGGCCATGGTTGATCTCTGGGGAAATTTCCTGGGGCACGGCTCGAGGCGCTGGTGCAACAAAAAAGCGGATTATCAAAGGGCAGACGATGAGCGTCCGCGGAGCACGATATCGCAGCCTGATGGGCTGGTTTGGCCACATATTCTGCACTCCCGAAGTGGCCTTGCAGCCGTTGTGCGCTAGCCCGTGCTCTCCACCTTCCGCATCACGTGTTCCCGGAGCGAATAAAGCCACAGTGCATCAGGCTGGGGAAAACCGGCTCTAGCGTTCCGCCAACCACGCCTCATCACCTCGGCTCCGTGTGCACTGCTATGACTGCCCTCAATCAATGTGTGGAGACCCTGGGGAAGCGCTTGTCAGACCTACGTTCTCGGTCTCTGGAGAATGTGAGCTTAGAATAAGGGGTTAGAGGCAGGTTAATCTATTCAACCGTAGCTTGCGACTCGGACAGCTGATCATGGTCTTCGAGAAGGACAGCAGAATCATCAACCTGTCGGGGCCGCGCCGGTAGAAAGGCCACTGAAAGCTTGTGCGTTTGAACCATGCCAGCTATCCCAGGCTGATGGGCCCTGGAGCAATGTATTTCTGCACTGATCGTCCAAACTTGGCCAGGGCCCAACAAACCCCCATCACGGAATGAGGTTTGTAGAGACAGCCTCAATTGCTTGTTGTCTGCGGCTGTTCGTCCCGCTCGCCGGGGTCGACATGTCGATCCATTCACGGTCAGGACGCTTCTTGTGGCCTGGGCACGGCACCTCAGAGACCACCTCTTCGGGCGCTTTGCCGCCCACCCTGCCCCATGCAGTCGTTCATCCGCGCAAAGTACCGTGCGACTCTACAGACGCATTTACCCGGTCCGCTAGACCGCACTTCTAGAGCCAAGGTCCTATGCGAGATAGTATCTCGCACGCCAGGATACATATATATGAAGCGCCAGCATTGTCAGTCGATCCAGGCGCAGCTCCAACCAGCCCAACCCGACAAGTCAGCAACTTATATATCCTGCTGCCCAGGACAGTGTTTGGTTGTGTTTCAAACCCAACCTCACTACACTCATTCCCTCGTTCTTCGATTCACGAACAGTCTTTGGACTAAGAGTTGGAAGTCATGGGTTTCATCGACAAGTTCACGCCCAAGATGGGTGCCGTTGCTAAGAGCAGGGCCGATGTTGAGGCTGCTCAAGCCGAGGCTCCTCATCTGAAGAGGGTCAACTGGAGCCAAGATGCTGGTCTACGGAAGCTCTACTTCTATGCCTTCTTCATCTGTATCGCTTCTGCGACCACAGGTTACGACGGGTAAGCACACGCACGGACTTTGTTGAAACAACAAAGCACTGACTCGCTACAGTTCCATGTTGAACAACCTCCGTATCCTCCCAATCTGGACTACCTACTTCAACGATCCCAAGGAAGGCACCCTTGGTCTCCTGACTGCGCTCTACTCTATCGGTTCAATCGCTTCACTCCCTGTCGCTCCCTTCATTGCTGATCACTTTGGACGCCGATCATGCATTACTGCTGGATGTGTCATTATGATTGTCGCTGCCGCTATTCAAGGTGCAGCCAAGAACCTTGACTACTTCATGGGTGGACGTTTCCTTATGGGTTTCGGAAACTCGCTGGCTCAACTCTCTTCGCCTCTGCTCCTCACCGAGCTTTGCCACCCCCAGCACCGTGCTCGTGTTACCGCTGTTTACAACTGCTTGTGGAACGTCGGTGCTATCATCTGCACATGGTTGACTTTCGGAACTAAGCGCATCGACAACGAGTGGTGCTGGCGCATTCCAGCCCTTTCCCAGGCTGCCCCTTCCATCATCCAACTGGCTGCTATCTGGTTCATTCCCGAGTCTCCACGTTGGTTGATTGCCAAGGACAGGAACGACGAGGCTCTCCACATCTTGGCCAAGTACCATGCCAACGGCGATGCCGACAACGCTACCGTTCAGTTCGAGTTTGCCGAGATTAAGGAGACTCTCCGCCTTGAGTTCCAGTACCAGAAGACATCTTCTTACCTTGACTTCCTGAAGACCAAGGGCAACAGGTACAGGCTCATGCTCCTCGCATCCCTCGGTCTTTTCTCCCAATGGTCTGGCAACGGTCTTGTGTCTTACTACGCTACCGACGTTTACAACTCTATCGGTATCACAGACTCTGACACCCAGCTTGGTATCAACGGTGGTCTGAATATCCTCTCCCTCATCGTCTCAGTTTCATGCGCCCTGCTCGTCGATCGCGTCGGTCGCCGCCCGCTCTTCATATCTGCTACCGCGTCCATGTGCGTCACCTTCATCGTCTGGACTATCGCTTCGTCCCAGCAGGAAAAGACCAAGAGCAAGGCTGCCGGTCAGGCTGTCATTGCCATGATCTGGATCTTCTCCGTTGCCTACGCCCTGGCTTGGTCTGGTCTGCTCGTCGCCTACACTGTCGAAATCTTGCCCTTCAAGATTCGTGCCAAGGGTCTCACGATCATGAACTTGTTCATTCAGATTGCCCTGACCATCAACCAATACGTCAACCCCTACGGTTTCGAATACCTCCACCCCACCTGGAAGTTCTACACCATCTACTCTGTAAGTTGCACAACGAATCTCACTTTTCTACAAGACTATTTGCTAATCATCTTCAGTGCTGGATCTTCCTCGAACTCGTCTTCGTCACCGTCTTCTACGTTGAAACCCGTGGACCAACTCTCGAGGAGGTCGCCAAGATCTTCGATGGTGATGAGGCTGAGGTCGGCCACGTCGACTTGGAGCAGATTGAGAAGCAGGTTGTGACCACTGGCTACGAGAAGGATGACAACGTCCGCATCGAACAGATCAGGACCTCTTCTTAGGTTCACTCTGGACCAACTTTGTGTACATGATCAGTGTTTTTCGATGATGAAAAGGGGTTGGTAGTGGTGGTTGCTGGTTTACGATATCCAATTTACATGCATGTCCTTCGCTACGCTTAGTAATCGATATGATTTGCTACTTCACATCATCTGCCTCTGTGTACGTTTTGAAGACTGTCTTCGTGTCGCCTGCCTTGTAGTTGACAAGCCTTCTTGGCCTCCAAACGATCGCCGCTTAGTGGGAGAAGAGGTGAGGTTCATTCGGGCTTATTTCCAATCCCGGCCCGATTGTATGATTCATCAATGGTGGCGTGGCAGGTGCATGATGATGACTATCATGGATAACACGTTCTCTTTTCATTTGCTTGATGACATGTTAGGAAACGCCTTCCGATTTCATACAGTGGTCTACATCTCCGGAGGTCTCGCGTACATACACGAGAGTATTCTCTCGGCCCGTTGTGCTTAGCTGTTGCAGAAGATGACGTCCGTGTTTGCTGCGGTCATGTCACTAGCCTCAAGTTTAATGACCACGGGATGAGTGTGGGGCCCCGCAGTCATTCACTGAATCGCTATGACACCACAGAAGCGGCTGCTATTGCAGACAACGCGGGAATTTCCTGCTAAAATTTCGCCACTGAGCTTCGTTTCTATCCCGTGTCAGCACTAAAGCATTCGATACTCTTCAATATCACTGTGCCAGCCTGGAAGGCATACGAAGAAGCAGATTTACAATTTAGCACATCTATTTCCTGTTCATATCTGCTATGCTTGCGTTGCTGAATGTTACAATAAGGCTCAAAATTATGTGCTTTCTCCAAGCAATGATGTTGCGGTTTGTGAGGCAAGGGTATTGCGCATGTCACGTGCGTTGTCCTGGCGCTCCTCCCTCTCCTCCATGAGCACCTTCTCCCCTTACCAGCATCAGAGATACGTCATGTAAATAGACCCTGATTATGGCTACATATAAGGTGGTCATGACAGCACAACAACAGACAGAACACAATATACTCTGATGACTGCCTCGCGCGGTTACACTTTGATTGACTGCATATACTGCAACAAATGATGTCAATAGCATCGGCGGGATCTTGCTAAGGCCAAAGGCTGTAGATACTCGGTGTCGGGTCGGCATGTTTCCTGGCGATGTACCTAGAAGTATAAATTAATGAGCATTTCGATGGCCAAGCTGTAGTTTCCGTAGGGAAATATATCCATGATCGTGTAGGCCTCATTTTTGTTGCTACAACTTTGTGCTATCTCGTCAAGGCGGATGCGATAGACTGCTGAAAGCCCTGGCGCTTTTGTTCATACACGCGGATATCATTCAATAAGAGGCCTAGATCACTCCTCTGGAAGTTTATTTCGCTTAAGGCATGTTTGCAGACCTAATGATGGCGGGCGACCTGGACAACACACAAGTACATACAGCAAGTTCATTACCCAGGTAATTTCGTAGATCTATCATATTCTTCTACCCATAAATTTACCAGAACCAAGAAACTAACCTCCCCATGCTTATCCTAACCCCGACTTTTAATAATCCCCGCAGCCTTCTCGCCAATAGCATACATAGTCGACTGAATATGCTGCGAGGGAATAAGAGGAATAATAGAAGCATCAATAATAGACATATTCTCAACCCCGTAGAAAAGCAACTCATCAGACACACAACCACCCATATCTTCAGGCAACATCGCACAGCTACCAGAAGGGTGCGACAGAGTCGGCCAAATAGCTCCCATCTCAACCGACTTGTCGATGATCTCATCGTCGGTCTGGTATTTTGTGCCAGGAAACGTCTCAACGGGAGTGAATCTCTCTAGCTCAGGACCGGCCCACACCCTGCGGATGTAGCGGATGCAAGCTGCAAGTACGGATTTGTCTACGGGGTTGCTGAGGGCGTTGTAGGAAATCAATGGTGGTCCCTGGGGATTGGCTGGGTTGATCATGATGGTTCCGCGCGAGACGGGTTTCTCGAGGCCGACGAGGAGGTATATGCCAGCGCTTGGTATCGGGTATTCCACAATAGCTGCTTTGTCGTTTTGGAAAAGATCGGCGAGCACTTTGCGCTGTGCTCGGACACCTTTGAGCAGCTTTTTGCTATTCTTGTAGATTGCTGGGAGGTATTCGTTGTCTTTGAGTGCTCGTACTCTATCAGAGAGTGTGTTGTAGTTTTCTGGATCGACGACTGGCAGGGGAATCATGGCTAGAGCGTTGCCACGGGCTTGCGTTAATGGTCCTGTCCTGTTGAAGAGGTACTGTGCCCATGCCGAAGCATTGTACGCTGGGTCTGTGTCAATAGCCCCAAAGCCCGGTCCGCTTGGAAGGTTGGAGATGTTGAACTGGATATTGCTGTATGGGTGGTCCTGGAAATTTGTGCCCACACCGTCGTGTTCAAGCTTCACTGGAATCCCCGCTGCCTGGAGAACGGACTTTGGTCCGATACCGCTGTTTTGGAGGAGAATGGGCGTGTTCACTGCACCGCAGGCTATTATGAGTTCCTTTTTCGCGTAATAGGTCGTTGAGCCGTTCTTGTTGTTGACTTTTACACCCTTCGCGGTAAGCTGCTTGGTACCATCGAATATCAGCTGGGTCGCGGTTGACTCCAGTACGACATGGAGGTTCGGACGGCTCATAACAGGCTCATAGTAGGAGTTACGGGCGTGTGATCTTTCTCCGGTCCTGGGGTTCATCGTGTTTGGGTACCAAGATGTACCGTACGCCTCGCCATTGTTACCATCGATGGCTGCATGTGCTCCACCAGTTCCCTCATATGCCTCAAAGTAATCAAGGATACCTGTGAATTGGGTGTCCGAGATGCCAAGCTTCAACGGCCCGTCCCCATAGCTGTCGATCGGCAATTAGAAAAGCTCGAAATTGGGAGGAGTTCGCTGACTTACGCCTCAGGATCCCAAGTAATATTGACTTGCTTCACCGTAGCTTCTGGAGGCGGGACAAATTCTGTACCCTTCTTGAAGAACGGATACATTCCTGCCCATCCCCAGCCTTTGTTTCCCAATGCCTCCCAGGCGTCATAGTCGGCGGCAGATCCACGGTCATACATCATTCCATTCACTATTGAGCCTCCGCCGAGTACCTTTGCAACACGGGTGTTCCATGTTCCGTTGCCAAGGAATGGCTCTGGCTGGCAGACGTAGTTTTGCCACACAAGAGACGTGTTTACTGGATAACTGGCGGCATACGGCAAACGGATATTGGGATTATCATCCGCTCCGCCGGCTTCGATGACAAGAACGGATTCTGAAGTGTCACTATGTCAGCTTTACTGCTATTTTACTGGAATCATTGCTCTGACTTTGCTTGTCCTCACTCAGACGATTTGCCACGATTAGTCCAGTAACGCCACCTCCAACAATAACATAGTCGTACGTGTCTTGGGCAGCTGATAGCCCTAGCAGAGCAGCGCCAGCTAAAATTTTCGAAGACACCATCTTCACGCAATCGCAAGAAGGCAAATCGATTCGGAAGGGGGAGATGCCCGCAACAAAAGAGGATACCTAAAGGCTCTTAAAAATCTCTACGAGCATTCGTACCTAAGTATCTGAGCGTGCATGCATCGCGTCTAGATACATGAGTCGCCACACACTTGCCGGCAAAAAATACATCGGCAGTAAAGCCTCGGCGTTTTGACAGGTGATGACAGGTAAGCTATGCGATGTGAAAGTCTTGCGGTGCACCTCCTAGCAAGGTACCAAAGCACGGCATTGGATATAGTCGAATACGGCTGGGTCCCCGATATTAAGCGATCTTGGCTAGACGGCTCAGGCGTTTCCCTTCAGATCTACCCAGGTAGGAAGCAACTACAGATACAGTTGCCCCTTGCGTGCCGCCGCCTATTGTACTTCTGGGTGCGGTGAGCTTGATTGCGGCACTTCTAGAACCTTGACATATTTTTGTTTCTAACTGCGTGTAGGCGACGTGATTAACACAAGTCAGTCATCTCAACCTGTCGTGGAACTCTTGAGTTTTCGTGGGTCATCAGCCAGCTTACATACGTTTTCGGGCGATAATCTCCTTCGATTAAGCGGAGAACCATTGCGACGGACCTCAAAGATTCTCTTCTGCCGGGTGGCGGCTGCAGGTTTGCGCAGGCCGTAGGATTTCCAGGATACATGGATTATATTGCGGCGTAGTCGCTGCCAAGTCGCGGGTCCACAGTAAGGAAGCATTGGCCCCGCAGCTGCTCATCCATCTGAAAAATAATTCCTTGATCTCTGTGCCTCATTTACTAAATGTTGGGCCAGATTCTTCCATAGTATGTGCTATTTTCGATCCTATAGCCGCATGAACACCAGAGACATCTATAGCTTGAAGGTCTTGCCACCTGGACTCCTAGTTATCAGCATTGAAGCGGCACGGGACGAATCTTAAATACCTAGGTAGCTAACTAGCAACGGCAGCCTCCCACGGACCTTTTTCGCGTATGCAACAAACCTAGACTGGTCACGCGCTAGATACTGGAGCTGCAATGCCTTCAGGATTCGAGAAAGCTGGAGCGCTCTTAAGTTCTGTGTACCTAGGTACCTAGGTAGCTAGAACCAAAACAGCACCGACCTTTCATCGATCCCCTTCAACCCCGGTTGTGACTTTATGTACCCACATGTAACCTGAACCTTCATAAATGCTTCAAAGCTTGTGTAATTTTCTGTTCTATCACTGTATTGCAGCAGTCTACGGGTGGCCATCAGCTCATGTGCGGACAGAAGAGCCGTCTAAGAGTACAGTCGGTATTGATACCGAATAGGCCATTATGGTGGACCGATAAGAGCACGGAAGATTAGTTTCGGTAAGGACGGCGAGTCGTGCCTCACGCTGTGGCTTCCGTAGCCCGCGCGGCCTCCCGTCAGGCGCTCGTTATGCTACCCTGAACGATATTGAGATATCCGGTCTATCTTATAGACACCATTTTGAAGAAAGTAACACCTCGTCAAACATTTTCAAGTAGTTATTCCCGGATCAAGGGTGCCGTTTTGTCACTCGCACGACGCCGGAAGTAGGTAGAATCCAACTTTTTACCAAGTCCAGCCAAAGAACTGCAAACCACTGTGCCGCATATTCCGGGGTCGCCGTTAACTAAAAAGAGTGCATTCCTTTCATTCATAATCATGAACTTCGGCTAATGACCATACAAGGCAGGCGCCAACAAGACTATCACATTTCATCACTGCAGAATTGGCAGGATCTCCTTGATATCGTGATGAGTATGCGGGAACGACGATGAAGCGGGCGAAACTCGCTACCGCATTCCGCAATCTGGGATCCCGTCCACCAATAGTCCTCCATAGATCTCGAAGCGCCACCCTTTTACTAGCCGTTGCCCCTGTGTAGATCAGTTGAAGACGGCCATCATCAAGCGCTTCTATACCATCTCCGGGGCTTCAGGACATGTGATCGCGCTTAAGTACTGGAGCTATACTCGTGTTGTGCTACCTCAGATGCGTTTATGATACTCACGTTGCATTTATTCCCTTGTTATATCATTGCGCGTACTAAATACCTTATACTCTTATCACGATGCCAGAGACACCACAACAGCACTGGCCAAGCCGTCAGCCAGATATCTTGATAACAACTGTCAAGCGTCAAGGTTGGGGAGAATCATGTTGTATTAGAGCTGTTGGAAAGAGGTCTATCTGCGCAGTGGGAAGAGGGAGTGAAGGAGCTAGACCGTAAAGATACTAGCGGGTAAATGGGTGGCTGCCTGGTTGCCTAAGGAGGAGCCAAGGGATAAGCCCTATGGCCGACAACAACTAGCATACTCTGCGTCATCAGCACCGTAGTACTTGTCTGGAGAGTCGTCTATGGAATCAAGACAAAGAGGAAACACATGACATGCGACTACCTCCTCATCATTGCTGGAGTGCGTCACAAAATCACACTCCTACATAGCTCAAGAAGACTAACAAGAGGTACCTCCAGATACTAAACATCGTCTCGACCGCCAACCGATTCAAAACCTGTAAACACGGTCTGGGCCGCCACATCATGGATCCCAGCATCAGCAAACCAAAAGACATCCTAACATACAGCTACTACCTCTGGGTTGGTCAAATCCTTAATATCTTCGCAGTAGCCCTACTTAAGTATTCTATCTGCGCTTATCTTTTCGCTTTGAAGATTTCACGCGTCTATCTCGCGGTTATCTGGGCTTCGATCATGATGATCAGCGTGTCCAATCTTATACTGCCGATCATGGGGTGCTTTTGCACCACGCCGTTTGAGGCGAACTGGAATAAGAGTATCAGAGGCAAGTGCTTTATGGGGGGTGGGAGTGCAAGTAGGGGGATGTTCTACGCGCAGGTTTGTGGGTTCAATTGGAATGGTGTAGATGGCTTACTGATGGTATGATAGGGAGTTTCAAACTGCGTTAGTGATGTTGTGTATGTTGTTGCGCCACTCATATATCTTTCTACTATGCAGATATCGAGACGCACGCAGTGGGGCCTTCGGCTTGTTTTCTGTTTGGGTCTGGTGTGAGTCTCCTGCCTGTAAGCTCATGTGCTGGACCAAACAAGCTGGCTCGATACACTAGTGTAACATCCTTCTCTGTCATGAAGACTGTAGAGCTATCTGCTTTGATGAAGACGCGCGATCCCACATGGGATGGAACCAGTCTGTCCATTTGGTCTGCAACCGAGCTTTCAGTTGGCATACTGACTGCCTCTTTACCTCCTTTACGCAAGCAGTTTGAAGGCTTGACTCAGAAGATTTTACCCTCGAGCTTCCTCAAAGGCAGGTCTAAGCCCACTGGCCAGGTTATGCCGCTGTATGTTAGCAAGCCAGCCACTGTTAATGGTAAGCCCAAGGGAAATCAGTCGCAGGATGTAATGAGAGGCGATGATTCGGAGAGCCAGAGACATATATTGCGAGAGCAGTCTAGTAAAGGGGATGTCACGCGAACCATAGTACGTAAGGTCCGCAGTGACGATAGAAGCAGTGTATAGATGCATGAGCAGATATGTAATATACGCAAGTAGAAATGTTTATGATCTTTTAAGTTCATTGCCTCCGTGTTGATCGGCGATAACGCTGTTGTGGCCTCTGGCCCATACAATAATGCAGGGGCCTGCGGATGCCGTACTGTAAGTTACCGGTAAGCACTAGTAGAAATTCGGATCTTCAATATTGGTTCAGCGTGATTTCTGAAGTTTTGTGTTACGATTGGGACGATTCCATCACCAAGATGACTTCTTTTGATATGACGACGAGCATGGAGTCGCAGTTGTGGTTTTTGAAATGCTCCTATGTTCAGTCCGAGACTGTAGTCATCGCTAATATCGGACTTCCTAACCAATAAGTCTCTAGCCATTGCAAGTTCTATGCCAAGACTTCTCGGGCTTCCAAAGAAATATTATTCGTTGCATCACGACGTTTTTGTCGTACTGCATAGAGAACATAGTGATGCTGTCCTCAACAAGTATTCTTGACGTCATCGAGTTCGGGGTGTCGGTCCCCCATTGCTCCACCCGTCTCAGGCCACCGTCGGTCAGAACCGTATACATTTAACATCCGATTTTAATCATTCGCATTGCACCCGACTGGTCAGCAATTTTGTGTCCATCGGTTCACCGATTCACCGACGAGAGCCCCGCATTCCCAAAAGCAAGGCTGGATTTTGAACTGCATAAAGTAGGCTGGAAATCCCCGCAGAAGACTCAACAAACCATCCTTCAAACCATATCAACCATCAATACGAACATCTTTGCCCATCTATACAAGATATCATGGGTTCTCCCATCCTCGTGTTCGGTCCGACTGGAGCAGTTGGCCGCGCCACTGCCATTGGAAGCACACAGACGTGGTGCAAAGGTCTACCTTGCCATGCGAGACATGAAAAAGGAGCTTAAGGGGATCAAGGAGGGCAATGAGGACCGCTTCATCCGTGTGCAAGCCGATCTCACCAAACCCGAAACCATCAAAGAGGCAGTCAAGACGTCGGGTGCGAATAAGGCTTTCGTGTACGTCATTTTCGAAAGCCAGGACCACATGTGAAGTGCCTTCGAGGCGCTCAAGGAGGCCGGAATCACCTACGTGGTCTTGCTGTCTTCATTCACAGTTCAAGACCCCCCAAGTTCCGAAGCCAACAAGAAGAGCATGATTGGCGCAATCCACTCGGAGACGGAGGTCGCACTGCAAGAATCTGGTCTTGAATACACAGCTGTGCGTCCTGCATACTTCAACAGCAACGTCTTCTGGGAACACCAGGGGATTAAGAAAGGCGAGGCTGAGCTTCTGTATCCCAATGTGCATTTCGACCACCTCGCGCCTTCGGACATTGGACTCGTGTGCGGCTCTCTGCTGATAGAGGCGCGATTTCAGAAGGAAGCAGGGTCTTCCTTCTACCTGTGCGGTCCTAATTTGTTGACCCAACGCGAGGCTATGGAAACCATTGGGAAAGCGCTAGGAAAGGAGCTCAAGATTAAGGAAGTCGACCAAGAACGTTGGTTCCAGAAGTTGGAACACATGCCTAGGCCGCTTCTGGAGAGTCTGGCAAAGGATCTCAAAGAGTCGGATGAAGGCAAGGATGTGTACACGAAGATACACGAGCAGGCTGTGAAGAATTTCAGGAAGTTTGCAGAGAGGGAGCCGACGAAATTGGAGGACTGGATGAAGGAACACAAGGCTGCGTTTGAGTAGCTGATGCGACGGGAAGCTGGTCGCGTGTGAGATGTAGTTTATATATCTTGAAACGAAACGAATGTCAGGCATACTAAAGGCATGTAAGCGTCGGGTAGTCCTGTTTAGGTGATTGGAGTGAATGTCACCCATGCCGCGGCCCGCCGCCACAACGCGAATAGGCTGTGGCGCATGGACCCTGCATGACCTCAGACGCGCCAGGGCAGGGATCCGGTGATGATGCTGAAGCAAGGAAGCGCGAGACTTCGGGCATGCGAAACCCCAACTACAAACCCCACACAATCTTTAATTATTCGTATTCCCCCGTCCGCCTAGCACCCTAAGCACCGAGACAGCGCCTAGACTTCCCGTAATCACAAAATCTCATCGGTGCCATGGCTGCTGCGGCCGTTGGTCTTTCGCCGCCTGCGCCTGCGGTACCTTCAAAGGACCACATACACACTCACAGCTGTCCGGCGTGCGGTACCAGCATAGACATGGCAGAACTGGCAGATGCGCGGCAGAGGATAGAGGAGCTAGAAGCACAGATGGAGCGCCTAAAGGAGAAAGCAACAGCAGCAGGTACGTATGTGTGAATTTCAAAAGAAACAACCTACCCCACGCCACTACCTCGGCCAGACACCACCAGCAACACCAACAACTAACCAAGAAACCTGCCAGTGGACCGATGCGCCGACTACGAAGACCAAATCCGCAGTCTAAAATCCTCACAATCAGATTCCCCCAACAAGAATCCCCACCGGCCCTCTATCGACTACGATCCTCCTCGGCCCAGCACCGCAAACTCTACAAAATCGGGCCGCTTCTCCTTCATAACCAACCGCTTTCCCTCGCCCGCAAACACAGGCGCCATGCCGCCGCCCCCACCGCCAAAAGACGCCCCACGCGCCGTCGACAACACACTGCTCAACGAGCTAGAGCGCGAGCGGGCTTTGCGCGCAAAAGCAGAGGCGCGCGTGCAAACGGTGGATTCGGAGATTGAGGAGCTGAGTGTGCAGCTCTTTAGTCAGGCGAATGAGATGGTGGCTGAGGAACGGCGGGCGAGGGCGAAGCTGGAGGAGAGGGTTGAGACGTTGGAACGCAGAGATAGGGAAAAGATGGGGAGGTTGGATCGGTTGGAGAAGGCGGTTACGAGGGTGGAGAGGGTTAAAGCGCTTTTGAGTGAGCATGAGGTTGTGAAGAAGGGGGATATGTTGGGCGCGGGGGGGTTGTCGTTGCCTCCGAGGAGGTAGGGCCTGCAAAGAGGTAGAGGGTGGTGGTTATGAGATGACTGACTAACTGAACTGCATCTTTTGGGCGTTGTGTTGCGTGTTGCGATACCCCAATTTGTTTTCTCGTTTTTTGTTCTTTACTGTAGGTTAGCATAGCGTTGGGTGTTTAGCATTGACATATTTTGAATTAGGTTAGATAAGGCTGGCTGGAAAGGTGTATATGGATCATATTTACTTGTTGATACTCACTGTGCATGACTGCACATGATCATGGCATGAAAGTGAATGGCATGCGAACGTCAACATTTCGATGATGTCGTCAATGGAATCTGCTAGAAGGTCAGTCCACCTCCCCGAGGATCGGCAAGAACAAGATCATGCGGTATTATGAGCCCACAGCCACTGCACATCCATACATCACCATCAAAATCTCAAACGCCGTCGTCCATGGAACCTCAACTTCTACCTACCAGTCAGCACAACCACCGTCCAACCCACAAGACCTCAAAACATTCGCACCGACGGAGCGATTTCCGGGGGGTATCCGTGGAACCGCGCAAAAGACAAATTCAGCTCTCCTCACCCATGTCAAAGCCATCCAGGGAATCGAAAACAAACACTCCAAAACTATTCCAAACCTAAGAGCCCCTCACTAAATGTGGGCTCAGACTCTGTCCCGCCGTCACAACCGCTGCTACGACTCTTCTCTCGATCGGCGGGAGCAAGATGATCTAACAGCTCCTCTTCCCAGATCGACAAGTGATGATGCATCTTTTTTTGCATGTTTTGACTGGCTACCAAGACAGTGTCGCAGTGTACATGATGGCACGATTTCTGAATTCGCAGTTTGGAAACCCAGTGTATACGAGATCGCGCTCATCTGCCAGTGACTGTGAATTATTCGCGACCTTTTGTTGTTGTTTACATACTAGACCCTGAACTGGATGGGTTGGGGTATCACGAAAAGAAAACAAACAGAAAGTCGGTATGATCCTCAAGTAGTATCCAGCAAATGCATGAGAGTAGATTTCAGAACACATACCCGCCGTACGGAGTGGCGTGCACGACGACAGCAGTAAGGCGAGTCAACGGTGTCTCTTTCACGCCAGTCAAGCGATAACGTGTCCTTTTTGTGAAAGTTTTGACTGACCACAGAGACAGTGCCCACATCGTTGGTATACCGCGACCATACAAACCACTAGCCCCTCTTATCTCATGCAGCCTTACACTTTTCACCCCTGTCTACACAAAGATTAGTACCATAGTTACGTCTAACCGCGACTTAATTGCCCACATACTCTGTACTATTGGCCAGGCCCAGGCAGGTATCATAGAAAAGTCCTCCAAAAACAACTCGTTTTTTGCCGCATTTCGCATCGGACATGGAAGGTGTTAATGTGTGAAGCGATGTCTATATAGCTTTCTCTTTCTCAACTCGTGGAAACTTCAGCTGAGATGATAAACTTGATACCGTGCTGGAATGTACGGCGACTTTTTGCCCGAGTGGCTGTGTACGGTGATCTTCCATGGTACCCACTGGGTCTAGTCTACGTGACACAGTATATCGTTGTAATCGGTGATCCAATCGCTTAGACCGTATGACTCCTCATGGCTAGTGGGGCTACACCATCATGAAAAATTGTATGGTACACAGGTGGTGCTAAGTGAATGTAGTATCAAAACATAAATCACGTGCTCCAAGTTATGTATACGAAATTCAAAGAGGAGGGGATCTGTAGAGATGTGCAAATGGAGTGACTAGCCGTTTTCTTTGTTTGCAAGACTCAGGCGGTTGTTTCGCCCGGTCTGGGAGGTGCTTGGGGTACTTTGCTCTGCACGGGCAGTAAGTGTGATTTAGCCGGGTGAAGACTTCGGTGGACTGCTCCGTGACGTATATGGACATCTTGTGGTAATGATGGGGCCTTTAGGTCATAGATATGGCTATATGGTATGGTAATGATGGGTACGACATAGGAATGATTCCGTCAGCGACTCCGAGGCGATTGTATAGCGGTAATGTGCTCGACCAGCACCTTCTTCGGGACTGTTTCTGTGGGTTGAGTCCCGCTTCCGATGCAATTTCTGCTTTTCGTTTGTTAACAAATTTCTTCTTGGCTGTAGACTAGCTTCGCTCCTGGGAGTATAGATAGTCGAGACGGACCTGCCCTCTCTTCTCTTTTCTTTCATCTACTGTCTACTCTTCCCACATCTACTCACATTCAGCAAGAACGAGTACAGCTTTTGGGGTTAACAATAACACCACCACCACCACTACCACCACACATACACACACTGCTCAAACAAGAAAGCACACTCACCTCAACACTGCTCCAAAGACAGCCACAAAAGTTTTCCTCTTCCTACAACACACACACCGCTCCACCGCTCCAGAGACAGTCAACACCTGTCTCCCTCTTCTTCCAACACACATAAAGTAAAACATTTTATACACCACCAACAAGTAAGTCACAAAACAAATCCCACTCATACCTTAGACTTGTTCTCACATCACTTAGAATGGTTTGCAACGGACCCAAATACAAGCCGTGGAATGGGCGACACCGTGAACAAGCAGCCAACGAGGCCGAACAATGGGCCCGTCAAGACCGAGCAAACGCGGCGTACGACCGCCTCTATGAAAGTTACGGCTGTAACATTCCCGCCGGCTACTACCTCAACATGACGGGTAGCCATATCAAGATCTTGAAAAATGGTATGAGAAGCCATGTCACAGACGATGAGCGCATCGGCCCTCCCGGCACCATTTGGGTGCCCACGATTCCGTTAGGCAAGGATGGAGAGGCGTTCAGCTGGGAACGTCACGCCGAGCAATATAAAGACCTAGATGAGTACTCGTCAGTCATGCAAGTCCAAGTTGGCTTCAACGAGCTTGGATACGAGTTGGATGAAACCGGCCGAACTTGGAGGGCGTTCCAGCTGCAGAAGCTGACGCTTGGGAAGCAAGGCGATGTCCTGGTATATTACGTGGAACCGTCGACCACGCATGACAGGACACGCGAATACTATCGGCAAGCGGCGGACGGCACCTATACGATAGTGCCACCAAATCCCGCCCCTGGCTCTTCCGTTTGAATGCCCCCCATCAAACAGAAGATTGGTAGCTTTGGTTTTTTGGCGTTATCAGTTAGATGGAACCTTGGTATGGCTGCTCGTCTTCGTTATTGGCGACTGCGGGGGTCTCGGTACTTGTATATAGCTTCTTCAAATCAACATCGTATCCTCAATCATCACATATGGACAACGTGATTTGTTCGTGAAGTCATGCTGAGTACACTCACAGCTCTGATATTTTCTAGTACTACTCAATATCTCCAGAGACAAAGAAGACGATCATAGAAGCTCGTGGATATGAATGTTCGCTGGCCTTGACTATTTAACGCTGGCTGAGAGTCGCTTCCATAGTTCATGCTCTCATGCTCCTCGAATTTGGCCAGGACTTCAATCTGCCAATCCTTGGATGCGCTCTTGGTAAGCCTTACGATGCGCGTACCGGCATGCATACAACTGACAAGCAGAAGAATGGCCTCTGGTGGTGGCTCCGATCTCCACTTCTCCACGCCGTGATGCGCTGGCAACTTTGGGTTTCGATCGAGGAGTTTCAACCGCCACACCCCACCTCCAAGGTTCATCTCTGCGAGAACTTGTCGGCGGCCAGATATGGGTACGTGAAGCAGTCGAATGTGATCGTCATAACTTCCAGTAACGACTAGACCACCCTCAGTGTCTAGATGAATGGGAAGAATGGCCGTAACACCTGCACCGTGAATCTTCCCATCCATCCAGGGCACGCTTCCTCCAGAACCGTCTGCGAGTTCGGCAAAGCGAAGTGTGCTGTCATCTCCACCCGACAGTAGCCCTGAGCCATCTGGCAGGAAAGCCAGGGTCCACGCTTCCAGGTCGTGCGAAACAACCTCCATCTTGGTAGGCGCATCTGATTCGTCTTCGGTATCTATCACTCCGAGACATACATGCCCACTGGACAGTGTCATACCAACCATGAAGGACTCTGGGTGCCATGAGAATGCGGTGATGAGTACATCTTCGGGGAAGTATTGAATAGTTTTGATGTGACTGATCTCAGGATCTCGCTGCCATGACTTGAGCTCGTAGATGGCGAAAGCTCCAGTTGAGGTCGCAACGCCAAAATTTGAGCTCGTAACATGCGTTAAGAAATGTATATCCAGTATGGCCGAAGGAGTGGAGAGTGTCTGAATTATATTGCTTCTTGTAGTCAGTACTGGATTTACTGCAATGAGTCTGCAATTTACGTACACGTTGTCTCTATCAACACGCACTAGTATCAAGCTGCCATTGCGCTGCTGGTTTTTGGCGCTCACTTTGCCATCGTGAGGGGCACTACCCGCAGATTCTTTCTCATCAGACTTTTCGAGGTTGTACGTTCCGATGACGGCATACTCAGGATTGAGAGGAAAGAATTCGATACAGCTGGGCGGAAGATCGAGCTTGAAAGACGTCAGGGACCGTATTGTTGACATTTTGCAGAGAGTGTTGATGGTCAAGTTGCCTGCCTCTCATTTCGGTTAGTGGACTGAATGACTAAGCATAGACTTTGAGCTCTCCTTCCTCATCTGCAGATTCTTGAAGCAGCGACGACGTAACATGTTAATCATTAGCATCGCGCCATTAGTAGATCGCTGCCCTGAGAACTGTCTGGTAGCCTGAGCGCTATCGAGTTGATGCCTTGCTAAATCCCTGCGTCGCCACACTGCAGCCTGGACTAATCCCAAATCGGACACCACCTGACCACGCGACAAACACTTCCTCTCTTCTATTAAAAGTCAACAGAGAACGTGTTTTTCTACATCCAATTTCTTCCCACACGCGTTCCAACTTCAACTTCTATTCAACCACGTTCCAATTGACTAGGAAGGAGTACATTGCGCTGCCATGTTTAACTTCACAGCGACAGCGTCCGCGTCCACAGATACCTTTGCGTCTGGACGGTACTCAAAGCGCAATAGGGCACAGATCACATACGAAATGGATGACTTTCATGCATCAGACGAAGATTCCGACTTCGAGTCGCTCCCAGTCAAGGTCCGCTACAAACATTAATCTCACCCAAACAGTCCCTACTAACCACCTCTCCTAGAAGAAGCACAAGACAAAATCAACAAAACCCTCCGCCGAGAAACCCCTCCCCAAGCACAAGATCTTCCCCTTCATGCAACTCCCCGCCGAGATCCGTAACATCATCTACGAATACACTCTCACCGACCCCCTCGGCATCAGCTTCATAGCAACCATCCACAACCGCCGCCGCCAAACCCAACGCATCTCTGCTGCACTTCAGAGACGCATGTCTGAAGGCAGCTACTACAGGACCAAGAACACCATCAGCACCGACACCGACACTCAGGACGAAGAGCCCGCCCCCCTCGTCCCCGCGCTCCTCGCTGTCTGCAAGCAAATGCACAGCGAAGGCAAGGACATCCTGTATGGCAACGACTTTGTCTTTGCCGATAGCTTCGCTCTGTACTCTTTTATGATCAACCTCGGTACTAGCGGTGCAAAGAACATGAAAAAGATCACACTGCGGGGCTGGCTCGACGGCCGTGCGACAAAGGCTTATAACCACAGTTGTTTCGCTGCGCTTCTCCCTGCTACGAATCTCACTTCCGTTATCATTGAAACCCCAGGCTCATATTCTAGTCAATCCAAGCGTATTGCGCATCAGTTGTACCGCGACGCTTTTCCTTGGCTGGAGGCCGTGGCTGCGGCAAAGGGCAAGGTGGACGCTGCGCTTGATGTTTTGCAGTTGGGTGATGGCTTCTTTCGCCAACCGTGGGGTCGCCAATCGCAGAGTTCGGACAGGAAGGCGAAGACGAAGGAGTTTATGACTGAGTTGGGTAAGCTTCTGCGTGCGCAGCATATGAGGGTTATGGGCGCGGCGCCGAGGAACGTGAGGAAGGTCGCTAAGGTTGCTGAGGATGCTGAGGATTCTGAGATTTCCGAGGATTCTGGAGTGGAGTGAATGTTGGTCGTGGGAAAGGAGGAGAACTCGAAGACTGTTGATTCGGATGTGGTTATGAGTACGCACACACGATGGAGAGAGGGAGGCTCTGAGATTTTGAGCATGCATGGGAAAGTATGGAGATGATAATGGCCAAACACACACAAGGGCACGACTGGTCTGATTTCGGAGTTTGCTTTTAGATTTACACGGCTAGAAAGACCGCTGATGCACAGGCCTCATGAGTCTGAGTTGCGAAAGTATGAGATTTGTACATTAATAGAGATCAATGACTGAATGATAACAATATCCAAACCCACAAAATAATCTATCCCAGCACCTTCCACAGCTGTCCAATATGCACTTATCCCTCTTGCCTATCCACTCTCTTTCCCCGTCTTCCCCCGCCCCCTCAAAACTCCAAGGGCAATAAGAACACAACCTTCACATGAAAGGGAACGGGAACATGACCTATACTCCCAAGTTTCGTAGAGCTCTCGGTGATTTAAAGGCTGGTCGGGGTGACCGAATTGTACAACGAGTAGAACATTCGTCAATATAGTCCTTCACATAACTAACGGGGAATGATATTCGAAACACACTTACGAATGTACTATTACACACACATCGAAGCCCAACGATGACAATGTACACATATAGACCAAAAAAGGGTATAAATTAGGTACATAAACTTATCATATCAGAAACCGTAGCTTCGTTCAGCACATTACGGAGCCAATGCAAATATACAAAACACAGCTCCACATCTCCTTCTCTTCATGTCCACCCCTTACTTCAACACCAACCTCGCAAGCATAGCCCTCAACGCCTCAGCGCCCTCCCTCCCCTCCGGCCCCAACAGTCCCTCAATCCCCCTAACATGCTCATCCGTCTTCCCCCTCAGCTCCTCAATCACCCTCCTGCTATACTCGAAGCTCCCTTTACTCTCCATATACCTGAGCGCATAGCGTTTGACCTCCTCGTCCGTCGTCTTTTGTTTCAGAATATTCATCAGGATCTGGTTCGACGGATCGGCGCGGATGGCGTGGATAACGGGGAAGGAGAATTTGCCTTCTGTGAGGTCTTCGCAAAGGCCCTTGAGCGTGGTGTAACCGGATGTGGGGGAGAGGTTTAGGTGGTCGTCTAGGATTTGGAAGAGGAGGCCGATGGTGGATACGAGGGGGGCGCAGTCGCTAAGGGTGTTGTTTTAGCTACCATGTAACCCCGTTGTGAAGGAGGGGATTCATGGGGGAGAAACATACACGTCAGTTTCAGACTCGGCTTGCATGAGCTTGATTGCCAATCTAAACAATCCACCCGTCTTGTTGCCCACCATTTCTAGATAATCGGCTTCGCTCGGACATGTCAGGCTATCCCTCCAGTACAGATCCATGCCCTGACCTCGGTGCAGGTTGAGTAGCTCCTCGGTGAATATCTCGATGAGCTTGGGGTTGCTCATGGAAAGGAGGAGGGAGAGGGCGCGGAAGTAGACGTAGTTTGCCGAGTTGATTGTCTGCGGTGTGCCAAAGATGGCGTGAGCGACCGGAATGCCGCGGCGGAGGACTGACGAATCTTCTACATCGTCAACACTAAATTGTATTAGTTGGAGTCATGAGGAGTTGAGAGAATACATACAGCAAACTCGCGGTATGCAGCATGCCCACCACCTTTGTTATAACTTCAAGCCTTTCTGGCGGCACCTTCAACCACAGATTGAACGCAGCAATACACTGACTCCGTATGTCTTTTCCGGGGTGTCCGTACAGGTAGTCGTATGGACCTAGAAGTATGCGCTCCTTGCTCTCTGTCCAGGCAGCACCATTGCCGTATATCAAATCTTCTCCTACGCCCTTGGGGTCGTCGGACGGCGGTGACAGCGGTGTGGAGTAGCCAGTGTCCGAGGCCATGGCTTGGTTTCGATCAGACATGTGCGACTGCGACGTTTGGTCTTGTAGATGGGCGTTGAGCGGTTCGGCGGAATGGCTGGTCTTGCTCTTCTTGCTTTGCGCAATCCAATCAGTCTCGCTCAAGGGGCGCAGGACGCTGCTTGTTGACGGATGCCTAACGCTATTCCCATTGAGGCTGACGATACCAGTGGAGCTGGTACGCGGCGGGATCGCGTTGGGCGAAGCAAATGGGTGGGTTGGTGACGACACGGGCATGGTGACGGTATGCGCGGAAGCCGATTCCGAGGTCGTGGATGACAAGCGGCTTGTGACAGTGATGACGGGTCTTGGCCGCCAAAGGGTTACGCCTGCTTGGACACGCTCAACGCGGAAGCTGCAGGAAGTATAGTAGAGAAAGCGTTGGAAGTTGGCGGAAGGGGGTGATCGGGATACACCTGTCGCGCTCCTGGAAGAAGCGCAATGCGGAGAACGGCGGGGCGCGTCCAACTCGTGACAGCAATGTGTGTGGGGAAGCTTGTTGAACGAGGCGGACTACGGTGCAATGCCGGACAGCCTGGCTGCAAGGACAGGGCCCTTTATACAGCGCATCGTCGCAGGAAAACTCCTCTTGCAGACACAATCGTTGCAACATGCAAGTGCATGTATGACGCCAACCGTTGCTTGAACCCCTGCTTGAAAAAAGCCGCTAGCCCAGACACAGCTACGTACTCCTCACGAGCCTTGCCCATGAATAAAGGATAAACCTTCATAACCTTGCTGAGGCTTGCTCCCTTGCTCTCCATCCGGCAAACTTCACAAATGCAATGCACTATAGACGTGACACCTGGTCTATTCCGAAACTTAATATTGTTGTAGCCATCTCGACCATGTTCGCTGCACCCTGACACAGCACGCTCTAGCCGCCTCCAGTGCAGCATTAAATATTATACAGATCGACCTTTATACCAGAAGGGGAAGAAGAAGACGCTTCAAACCGCCAAGTGGCCTCCCCTAACGCTATACGGGTATGCTAAGAGATGAGGACAAAACAGAACAATGTTAAGAGCCAAAAAGGTCCTAGGAGAGTATTAATGTCCACCTCAGAACCATTTTGTATCCAACACAACAAGGAAAGGTTATGCCTGATGCTGTGGTCGTACGTCGTGACAAAGAAAAACCCAATGGGAGAGAAAACAGGCAAGGAAAACTGGTGCCGTAGAGGCAAAAGAAGCTGATATGGCAGAATCAAATTTACTGCGTTTGGTTGTACGCAAGCCAAGCATCATGCGCTTCGCGGAGAACTGCATCACGGTTAGTAGGTGGTAGACAATCATTTTTCTGATTGAACTCACTTTGCAGAACCTGAGCTTGCCCAATGTACGTTTCGCAAGCGCACTGCAGTGTTCGTCCATCGATGAAGTCGAGGACGACACTGTTGGGAAGTTCTTGTCGATCTTGGTCAGGCGGGTATGGGGTGCGGAAGTCGCTCAAATGGAAGCGTTTAGTCACGCCCTTTTCGTTGTGCTTCGAAGGGCTGAGGACAAGGTTGCCAGAGCCGTCAATTTCGACCCATCTGCGTTTCCAGAGCTACATTGAATTAGTTACGTCCATGAACATATACATGATCAGCTTACCAAGGTATCAGGGAACTGGATGTTCAAGTCTCCAACGTGGACCGCAGGCGGTGGCTCCCTAAGAGATGCCAATGAGGTTGATCGCATATCGTTCTCGGACGATGCCAAGTTGCTCGACGAGTTCTTCCAGGGCATGGATGAAATGGACGAAGACATGCGCTTGAACATCTTGCTGGTCTTGCTAGATTTCTTGCCGCTGTGCGACTCCTTCTTTTCCTTCTTCTCTGATCTCTTCTCGTCGCCCTCTTGGCTGTGCACTGACTTGGACTCGCTCATTCTACGACCGAAGTTCCTCCAGGTGCTCTCAGAAGATGTCCGTGATGCGGCGATACTTTGCTCTCGCGAGTGTGACGAGCGAACTTCCCGAGGAGAAGTAGGCTCAGTCCTGCCACGAGGAGGGCTCATGGGTGTAAAGGTTGCCACTTGATGGTCGATGATCAAGGGACTTTGGTGAAGCTCCAGCGGTGTACTCTCTGTTGGCATCGCAAGTGTAGGCTGCGCTGTTCGCTCATCTCGAATTATACGGGCAGTGACTTGTACAGACTCGGGCTTCTCAGCTCGCTGTACGTTGTACACGGTTGACTTGATCGGGCCCGACTGTTTCTTTCTGTCAGGAGTTGACGACGCCGAGTTGGCTAAGAATGGTTGGGCTCCATTTTTGGGGGTAGACAGCCTGTTTGGCGATGTCTCAATAGGTGTGGTTGCGAAGAAAGACGATTTGCGTTGGGCAAGGGTAGAGCTTGGCGCACTCAACGCGCTGGCAGAACCTATTGATGAAGTTGATTCCCTGTTAGTCTTCTCTGCAAGCGCCTTGATCCTTTGTGAATGCCAGAGGAAACGTTGATTTTCTTCGACACCGTGGAGTCAGACTTTGGTTGAGGAGGCCAGCCACCAGACAGCTTGCGGCTAGTTTGGCTAGTTTGATCGGGCGATAGACGGCTGATACCTGCGTAGTTGGACGAGGCTGACCTGGGAGGTGTCGACAAGTCCGTGTGAGAGGACTTGCGCGGGAAAAAGGGCGTGATTGGGGACTTGGATACCGACATGGGTTTGGCCTCGTGTACGGTAGCGCTCTGGAGTTCCTCCATGAAGGAGTCGTCGGACAGGTACTCGGCCTCGGAGTTCTCCGCGCTGACATTGACTGCGTCCAACAACGCACGGCGCTTTCCCTTTTTCGATTCTCCAAAGCTTCGCCTCTTGGAAGAGGGCATGAGCATAGACTCTCTGTTGCGCTTCTTTGCCTGTCCGTCCTCTGTGTCGCCAGATGGCATGTAGATTGTGGATTCCCGATTCGAGCGTCGGACATTTTCTTCGGCTGGCCTCGGGACTTCTCTCGCCTCACCTTCTGTATCATCGAATGAAGGCGCTCGTTCTGTGATTACCGGCCCTTCAGTTTGCTGGCTTGGAGCCTCTCCAGGGACGGGAGTGGTGCTTTCGGGTACTACAGTTGGCTGGCTGTCGACCGATTGCCGTTCGTCTATGTCTGGATTGTGCGCATCTTCACACTTTTGCGAATCTTCCATTCCTGCCTCATCTTCTGATATCGACGACGGCCGTGTTGACGGCGCGTCAGACGAGCCACGAGTCTGAGCGGATACGGGCGAAGATATCGAGAACGATGAGTTCAAGTCATCGGCCTCTGCTTGGTTTTCCGTCGCCGTTAAGCCAGAACTGCTCAGACGGTGTGCGAACTGCAAGTCATCACCTAGCAGAGTCTCTCTCTCGGGACTAGATTCTTCCTCGGCCGTCTCTTCCGACTCTGGTGTGACAATTGTTTTGACTTCAGCTTCATCATCCGTGGCCTCAGCATCCTCTGTTTGCACCTCGGGTATCTTGTCTTTTTGCTGCTGCTGTTGCTTTTTGCGCAACTCGAGAGCCTTCATCAGCCTCGTCCTTTCTTGTGTTGGCCCCGTAGACCTGTTCAGGCTTCTATATGACGACACGGGCATGGACTTGACACTGATAGGACCTCTTGTTGAGTATAGGGATGAGACCGGGGACTGTGGCATGCTGGGTGGGTTAAGGTCCTGCGTCGCTGGGGGAATCGAAATAGTAGGTAGTGCACCGGGTGTGGTGGATTTGGACATTTTGCTCTCGGCCGCCTTTCGGTTAGCGGAGCGTAGACCGGCTGGTAGTGAGGATTTGGGCCTTGAGAGGTCTGCCGGGGCACTGCCTGACGTGGCTGGTCGCTTGCCATCGAGAGACGGACGTGGCCGCGGCCCCAGCTTGACTTTGGGCTTGGTATATTGAGCATAGTAGTGCTCATACAGTTCATCGTAGTTGGGCCGCGTGGTTTGCGACGAGTTTCTGGGCTCTGGGCCATTTTCGAATAGTGAGTCGTAGCTCTTGAGGGTATCGTGCAGGTCAGAAAGATCAGTCTCGGGCGTCACCGGGCCTTCAGATACCGTCTCCATGGTGACATGGGAAATTTGCGATGACAACTTGTGCTCGACGGCCTTGTCGTCTAGTATCAGCGGAACAGATTCTCCATGTGAAGACGATGGAAGACTCGGCACGGGCTCCTCGGTCTGCGGCTCTAGTATGGTGGGTATGGTGGACTTTGCGGTGCTAGGTCGTGTCAGGCTCTCGTCTCCACCCACTTCTTCTGCGGCCTCCTGAATCCAGCTAAGCTTCTGCTGACGCGACGATGAGCTGGACGAGGAGCTCGAAGGGGCGGCGGTATGCAAGCTGCAGGCAGAGGTAAGGGCGGCATCGCTAAGCTCATCTGGCGTGGTTATGGGCAATACGATGTCGTGGGGCGCAAACTTCTCGGCAATGTTGATAAAGTGGACGGCAACGCGAGCTGTGCAGCGTGTCAGTGAGAGATTGGGCGGATGCATACATGACGTCAAAACTCACCCTGCAGTAGTCGCGATGTGCCCTCAGGCACGTACTTGACCAGGACCTTGCGACGACGGTACAACAGCAGTCCGTAGAGCGGCGACTTTTCCTCGTACTGGGCAACTGCAGCGCGCGCCTCGCCTGCTCCGCCAGTGCCCCGCGTCAGTACTTCAACAGCATCTCTAGATGTGTACCTGAGCAAAAACCTATAACCAGGACATTAGCTGGTGGCCCGGGAGTCGTGAGAGCAAGAAGAGGACATGTCATACCAACCACCAGCTTCGGCGAGGGCACCCTGGTACGCCTGTGTGACCTCAACGCTGTCCAGCCCGTTCAGCGACATGATAAAAAGGAAAATGAAAGCGCAGCCCCTACGTGGGCGGCTCTCTCTGAGTGCAGACTCTCCGAGCCAGGCGTGTCTGCGGCGACGTGGGCGTAGTCGCGGGCGGACTCAAATATCCAGGAGGTCAAAGCTGGGGGGTCATCCAAATTGGGAATCCGTGGCAGAGAGTCAGTTGCAGCAGACAGGTCGTGCCATTGGGGCGTCGCGGGGCGTCGACACAGATGCACCTTTGTCCAACATGTACCTTGCAACGCGCGGGACACGCAGACTGCGAGCTGAGCAAAGGAGCAGTGAAGGGCATTGAGTGGAAATCAAGTGTTTCATGCACCCAAAGACGAACAGGGGGTCGCGCGTGGCCAGAGCTGATGCCCTAGGCCGTGGTCCATATCTCCGCAACCCTCTGCCGCCCCGGCCCTTTCACCGCCATCAACGGCTTCGGCTCATGAACGCCTTTGCTTTTGCTAGACACGAGGCGGTGCACCCACGACGGCGACGGCGACTGCACGGCGAGTGCTGTGAGCCATGTTGCGCTTCATTCCCGCATTAACACGCCCCCGCAGTACGGCATCAATATCACGTGTCACTGTCAGCCTGACGCGATCAAGGTCGCAGCCAGCGGCGAATATAGTGCAAGGCCAGACTACGACTGTTAAAGTTGCCCGGGATCTTTCATTTCTTCTGCCGTCGGTAGGCTGCAGATGACAGCAAGTGACACGCGCACAGGAAGAAGCAAACAACCGTTTTGTGTGCGACTGTCCCAAACCAGAATAGACAGCGCTTTCTAGTCCAAATGTCTTACTCAGGGACAAACTATCGTCCAATACAAGATTGACCGCAAGACGTCGCAACCCTGGCAAGGTCATGAAAAACTCTGTATCATGGCACCTGCTTAGTGTCTAATTCACCTCCTTTACCTCGCCACGACACTTCGGGGTGTTTATCACATTACGCGGTACGCGTCCAAGCTAGAAAAGACTAAGGGGATAGCTTTCAGGACTACCCTAGTTGCCCCGCACCATGTCGCGAACAGCTCTCCCTCCCCTTGCAGCTCGCAGGTACCCGCGCCTTTAACAGCATAGGAGCCAGTCATGCACTCCATCGCTGATCGGTCGGTAGCGGCCGCCAGGCCGATGAAGAAATGTCGCCATCCACAACCATCATAACCTGACGTTCAAATACTAGCTCACACTTTTTCCCCTACCTTACCTCCCTAAAAGCAAACACACAAAAACAACATCTCCGCAGACCCTTCCTTTCTCCCTACTTACAACTATGACATCACTCCCCGCCCCCAGCACCCTCCCCCATGCCTCCGACGAAGAACTAACCCACGTCCTCGACCTCCTCTTCGAGCCCTCGCCTCCCCTCCGCACAATCACTCTCCCCGTCCTCCGCTCCGCCACTTTCCCCTCCTACGACGTCCTCATCACAGCCGTAAACGCCCAACTCAACGCCCTAGCCATCTCGTCAGACCCAGCCCACCTAAACACCCTCTCCGAGATCCTCTGTGCACATCCCCGCCTCGGCGAGAAGAAGGTCGACAGCGAACAGAGCCGTAAAGAGCAGGCGCAGTTGAACACGGGTGGGGAGGCGGAAGCGGAGAAGTTGGCGGCGTTGAATCGTGAGTATGAGGAAGTGTTTCCGGGGCTGCGATACGTGTAAGTGACACTCAAACATTGAATTACTGTACAACAGCTGCATTGTATGTTTTTCGGTGTGTTGTTGATACAAGAATCAGTGTCTTTGTAAACGGCCGTGCGAGACCGGAGGTCATGCATAATATGCGCGAGCGCATCGATCGCGCCGATGTACGCGCCGAGAGGGCAGACGCCATTCAGGCCATGTGTGATATTGCACGCGACCGCGCGGCCAAACTGCAGAATGTAGATGCATAGGGCGTTGTGTCATAGCGTTTGTACAGGCTAGCGGTTCCCTTCGATCGCGAATTTGCTCCGTCGATGCATAGCGTTTGCTCTCACATCTTTCATGATTATTATGAAAATGAGAGCACGAGACCTACGTACCTAGAGCAGGGAGATGAGATTAGAAAGCTCTGACATACCTACCTACTTACGTACCTTTGCATTCCCAAACCAAATACGTACATATACATTCAGCCCAACATCTCCCTATAGAGAAAATTGTGTCATTCCATCCATGTTACTATTATTACAACTGGCACAAATGCAAAAGTGACATCCGCGTTCTTTTTTAGGTGTGCTGCTTGCTATAGGTTTGAGTCGTGTAATATAGGTCCACTTCGCTACCGCTGAATTGAATCGAAGCCCAACGACGAGGTCGGGTACAGTTTTCATGCTTTCATAAATAGTTTTTTTTGTGTGTGTGTGTGGGTGCGTGGTTGTGACGTGGACGATTGATGTTGATTGATGGCGGATGCGGTTGTGTATGTATGCTGGGATAGGGGGAGGGAGGGAGATTGGAGGGATAGAAGAGGAAGTTGTTGTACAGCTATCGCTACATCTACAGTCTAACACACGAAGATCTAAATAGTAGATGCTTGCGTTGGCAGGCTTGTTGCGCCTTGGTGCAAGTTTTTCGCCTTTGGTCGTTGCCGTTGCCGTTGCCGTACGTACAACCTCTATGTACATCTCAAACCAAGTATCCGCACCTATGTAGTTTACACGCACACACAAAACATAACCAGTATTAACCCTACAAACACCTTCTTACCTTTACAGATTTATACCACCCTATTCTTTTTCTTTGAATCTTAATCCAATACTCAAAGCTAGAAGACAACCAATTGGCCAGCCCGCCTAGATGTATAAAATTCGCTTACATCAACTCCAAGTATTCCCCTCCCTCTTCAAACACACAACCGTCTATCGCCCAACACCTCCACCTTCATACCCCCTAACCCCAAAATTCGGCGACACCGACCTTGGACTCGCCAATGCCAGCAACGTCGGCGAGCGCGGTGTATACGGCATCGTCGTCCTCGCGGTCGTACCTAGAGGGGGGAAACTCGGCGATGTGGACGTTGACGATAGGGTTGTAGGAAAGAAATTCGGGGACACTGGTGTTGTTGGGTTTAGAGTTGAGTAGCTTAAAGATGGTGACGATGGCGATGATGTGGAGTGTTTTGATATCTGTTTTAATGGAGGAGGTATTGTAGGGCGAAAATTCGGGGATGTGGCGAAGGAGTCTGTTCGTTTGGTTGGTGATGTTGTTGTTGTTGATGGTGAGGTTGATGGCAGTGTTGTAACTACCGGTGGAGCAGCAGACAGGGTACTACTACACCACTCATCTTCATCTTCTCCCTCACTCCAATCGCGATTTTCAGCCGGTGGATCTAAGAATTCTGAAAAGAGAGATGCAGTATCCGATCTACACGTCTGCGCTACAGCGCAAGGATGTGTAGACCTAGGAAACGAAACCGCGTCATCATCTTCGTCATCAAAGGGGCTGGGGAGCCTCTCGTCTTCACCCTCACCGTCATCGTCGAGATGCGCGTATGGATCAAAGGAAGCGTGTTCGACGTCAAGGGCGTCATAGTTCGATATACCGAGCGGAGACGGCGGCGGGGGTGTATAATCTCTCCGTGGGATCTGTGCTCTAGGCAAAGCGAGAGAGAGGGTATGTGAGCGGGACAAAGTTTCGTTTGGCGAGCGAAAAGCCTTGGTATCCTCTGGGGAACTTTTCATGGGCGAAGCAGGGGGTGTGGGCGAAGGACTTCTAGATGAGGTAGGAGAAGTAGATGGTGAGCCGGATACTACAAAGTGATCGCCTGTGCGTACGAGACCACTTGGTGGAACTGATGGGTCTTGTGATAGGACTGGTCGGGTGTAGGTATCAATGCTGCCGTGATCGAACTCTAGCCTTGCTAGTTCGAATTGCGCTTGCTCCTTTTCATTTCCTACTAGTATTCGTCCTCTGCGTCCGCCATTGCCCCCCTTGGATGACATGTTTCGTCTGCGTATGCCATTGAGGATGGCGGCTTTGCGGAGGAGGTTCCGACCGAGAGCCTTTTGCTTTGCCCAGACTGCGATTTTCGAGCTGCCTCGATCTACAATGTTGGTTGCTGGGTGGGAGAATTGGGGCGAGAGGCGCGATGTGATGAGGACGAGACGTAGTCGGCGCTTCTTCTTCTGTGTGCACGAGTGTTCTCCGTCGATATCTGCTATAGCTCGACTTCGCTTCCCGGGCCTGGATTGCGTTGGTCTGGGTAAGAAGGTGAGATTCATATCTGGTTTTGGAAGGGGAGTGGTAAAGTCCAGGGTGACCGGTCCTTCAGGCGGAACGAGAATGCCGAATGGTCGACTTTGTATAGATGATGTGTTTGTAGTATCAGCTGGCTTCATCCTCCGTTGCCCAACGTCATGTACGTTCTTGGTGAGATTGAGCTGAGGAGACGATTCAGCATTCTTGCGGGTAGTCCCTACTCCGTAGCGGTGTCTGAGCGACGAGTCGATAAGATGTGAGTCAAGAGCGTCCAGCGGATGGTTTGTTGTGCGGGTAGGGCACGCGATCCGAGGATCAGCAAAGTGGAGCCAATGCTGTGCTAGTGAATGGCGGAGCATGGAGCTTCTCGACCCGATACACCACTCGACCCTGCTTTTCAATGCCCAAAGCCCGGCATGGCAATTGCGTGTGACCCAGACGTGCAGTCAAAACTAAGGGGGTGAGTATGTAATGCCAAGAAGGAGTGAAAAGTCAACGAGAAGTAAGCATTTGGGCAAGGAACCGGTGACATGCAATGTGTGTGTTTTGAAAGAAAGAGAGGGCCCTAATAATATCGCTCCTGCAGACGACCACCTCGGGAGCCCGGATGACCCAACGCTATGGGCAAAGATGCGGAGAACCCTAGCCCGCCTAACCTGACAGTAGATGCCCAGTGCGTCCTTAGTCTCACTCTGCCTTCTCACCTCTTACTGGCCCGCACTACGAGAGAGCATTCGCAAGCGATTGCGTCGAGACCACGCATCTCTGCTCAACAGAGGACGTGTGTGGCAACTTCTCTAAACGCTCATTTTGTGAGGCTGACAGCCCATGTCCGGGGGGGGCAAAAACGTCATACTGTGTTTACGAAAAGAACACGCATGCTGGCAAAGGGCCTCGAAGGGAAAGCGGAGAAGGTCTCCTACAGCAGCAGGCGACAAGAAGGACAGGAATTGCATTGGGAATGGACGACGCCAAAGGGGGGTTCGCGTCTCCAGCTTTTCCCCAAGACCTTGCCTTGCCGCCCCCCAAAACCTTGCCGATCAGCCCTAGCCTCGAATCCTTCACACACCCCCGATCTGACAGCGAGATTCTCTCCGCCAATATAACGTGATCAACTCAGCTTACACTAACTTGCTCTCGCTCTCGCACTCTTACACGAAAGAGGCATGTCACCAATTCCAGCCGGGTGTGTCTAGGCCAGATGGATGACATATAGATGTAGTCTCGCAAGCATACCCAGAGAAAAAGAAGACGTAGCCCTCGACCCAGTTTTGATCCTCGCGAGCCGAGGATCTAGCCCAGCCCCAGTCGCATCATTCAGATGATCCATCTCGATGGGAGCAAACCCTGGGATCTGTCTTGTGAATCGAATGTGACTTGTCTGCACATAGCTCGGCTCCCCTTCGGCCCTCACTACACACAACATGGTGCTTGTACTGTACCAAATAGAAATTGTTCAATAGACAAAGCTATAATCCTCATCAACAATCACATCAACCCCTTGCCCTTCCATTTCCTTACCCTTGCCCTTGCTCTGTAAATTATCACAGCAGCAATACCTAAATTTTCCTATAGCCACATCTACCCTGCCCGCTGCACAAGCTACACTCTCCACACAACCAACCGACTCCCACCGGAGATACCTCCATATCATCCCAAGTAGCGAGTACGCCTAACGGTATACACACCATCCTTACTTACGCTTACCCCAATCCCCACCGTACCATAAGTAAGCGGAGAAGTCCGACGCCACCACCTCCCCTGTTCCTATCAGCACCGCAGTGCAACCGCGGATACCACCGTGACCGACGCAGGCCGAAGAGTACCTAGTATCCACTGTACGGTACCGTACACCGTAGCTCGATCACGATCATGATCACGCTTTCGTATATTTTGTGGCGTAAGAAACTTCTCGTCGTTAGTATGCACTTGGGCGCTTTGTAGCGCACGCCAAACGAAACCCAAGGTGGATATGTGATGTATGATTTTACTTTTCTTGGGCTCTGGCTCTCTCTTTCGCACACGGCAGTTGGGCCTGCACGGCTTACGAGGTTGCGGCTTAGCTCCCCGCTTTCTCTTTCTTCTTCTCATTTACGCCCCGGAAAAAGCAAGATGCTCGTTCGATGTATGCGTGCATGCTTTGCCGAGCCAGTCAGCCAGGGCAAGGCGAAAAAAAAAAAGAAAGTGATGGGGTGGAGTGAGTGACATCTGTTGTGACATGTAAAGCATTCCAGCACGTGCGTGCGACTTGTAGGTAGTATCGAAGCATGAATGGGCTTTTCGCATCTACCGTACCTACCGTACAGATCCAAAGCACCGAACCGGACTTTACCTCAACCCCAGAGTCCGAAAATGCACACAACAAGAAAACGCGATTGAGCAACGGGCCGCATCTTTCGTATATGCGCCTCGTCTCGTCTCGGTTCCAATCGCCTGTCCATATCTTGGTTGCACATAGAAAATGCCTGTATATAAACGTCACCATATATTCTTTTTATCCTTATCACACACGGCATATAACACCACCCCTCCAACTAATTTCTCCGAAACGCACCGAAAACAAGACCCTGCATGAAAGCACATGCTCAAATCATCAAATCGGGGTCCGGCTGCCAAAGGTACAAATCCTTATCCGCAGAAGCTATAAGATTAGTTCTGGGGTTATACCCCACGACAGCACTCTTGCCCTGACCGGGTAGTTTCTCCATGGGCTCGAGCACGTTGTTGGAGGAGGGGGGCTTGGATATATCCCAGACAAGTAATCCGTCTTCACCACTGCCGCCGATTAAGAACTGGCCGTCGGGTGTGAGACAGACGTCGCCCTGACCGTTTGGCGGCATGTCGGGGTTGCGCGAGGCGCCGTTGAGGTTGGTGACTGCGGCGCTGGGGGGTAGGCGACCAGAGGAACCAGCTTTGCGGTAGCAGAAGTGTGTTAGTTCGCCTGAGAAGGCGTCTAGGACGAAGTGGCCGCTGCCGTTTGTTGCAACTATCAGACTCTTGCCGTCGTTGCTGAATTCTATCTTTGTCCAGTCCACTTTTTGTCCGCCGAGGAAACGCTGCTCGTAGTCGAGGAGGTCGAATGTGGTAAACGGCGGCTTGTCGTAGTTGCGTATGTCGTAGAGGAGGATATTTTGTGTCGACGGTGAGGCAATGGCTATGACGGTCGCGGATGGGTCGTATGTCGCTAGGTGTGCTGCATGAAGGTTGAGTAAGCCCACATAGTTGGGTGACTGTAGATTCCACAGGCGCACTGTGTTGTCCCGGGAGCAACTGATGAACTCATCCTTGGAAGGACACAGGGCAATCGACGTCACCGTATCAGTATGGCCTTTGAAGTAGCGGATATATGAGTTGTCGTGCGTGGAGAGGAAGCGGAGGGTATCGTCGACCTTTGTACTCGCGTAGATGATGCTTTGTGCATGGTGGCTGAAGCGCGCAAGGTGTACTCCATACTTTTGACTCTTAAGCTCCTTTGCGTGCTTGCCTTCCTTGCAGTTGTAGATTTGAAGGGTATCGTCGTCGCGCGCTACAATGGCTAGTTCGCCCGAGTCGTCAAAGTCGAGTGAAGTTACCGAAGTGCCCTGACCGCCAGACTTGAAGCGCTGATAAAGTGTTAGTGTTTCGGCGCATATATCCAAAGGCGCAAAGCTTACTCTCTGAGGCCTGAAGCTCGTTATGACGTCGCTCACTTTCTGCGTCGGCGGTCCTGCAGGTGGTGGTGGAGGACCTCCGCCAGGCGTTGCTGAGCCGGCCATGGTGGTGTTGAACTCTCAATCGTCGGCCGTGAAAAGCGACTTCATCTCTGCCTATCAAGTTGGAAAGATATGGTGAAGCTCGACACACGCGACGACGCGACGTGGGTAACTAGACCCGAAGAAATGCGTGATGGGGAACAAAGTGGGTCTGACTGCGCTCGGCCTTACGTAGCTAAGAGCCGACACCGGAACACAACATTACTGCTAGCATCGGCATTAGAATTAGCATTTCGTTTCCCTGACCTACAATTCACTCACAACCTTCACTGTCGGATTCCTTTTCACTCCCAGAACCTAGTAATATCCCCCCCTTACGTGTCCATGACCACACGGTAGCGAAGCGCAAATATGTCGACCACACTTGGGTCCTTCATCGCGGGCGGAATAGCAGCATGCGGAGCCGTAACGGTAACCCATGGCTTCGAGACGGTCAAGATCCGGTGCGCATAGCCCGTCGGCGAAAGAAATTCCCTGCGCGCCAGCCTGTTGACCATGGCCCAGACTACAATTGCAAGGCGAGCTCAAAGCCAAAACGGATGCGCCGCGGTTATACAAAGGTGTCTTCCACGGCGTGAGCGTCATCTTGAAGAATGAAGGGCCCAGAGGACTCCTACGAGGATTAGGCTGCGCCGTACGTCCAGACACTACTACAACACATTTCCATGTCTTGTGACGATTGAACAAGAAAGGACGCTGACGGACCAAAGTACATCTACCAAATGACCCTAAACGGATGCCGTCTAGGCTTCTACGAACCCATCCGCAAAACCCTTACAAAAGTCGCCTACACCGACGGCAACGTCCAATCCTTTGGCATCAATCTCTTCGCCGGCGCCTCGTCTGGCATCCTCGGCGCCGCCTGCGGCTCCCCCTTCTTCCTCGTAAAAACCCGCCTGCAATCCTACTCGCCCTTCCTCCCCGTCGGCACCCAGCACCACTACAAAAACGCCGTCGACGGTATGCGCCAAATATACACGCATGAGGGCGTAAAGGGATTGTACAGAGGCGTGGGACCCGCAATGATTCGCACGGGCTTCGGCAGCTCGGTACAATTGCCCACGTATTTCTTCGCAAAGAGACGGCTGGTTAAACATTTGGGTATGCAGGAGGGTATGCCGCTGCATATTGCTAGTAGTACGGCGAGTGGGTTTGTCGTTTGTTGTGTTATGCATCCGCCGGATACGATCATGTCGCGCATGTATAATCAGACGGGCAATCTGTACTCGTCGGCGTATGACTGTTTGTCTAGGACGATCAAGATGGAGGGTATTCTTGCGCTATACAAGGGGTATTTTGCTCATTTGGCAAGGATTCTGCCACACACTGTAGGTTTTGCTCGGGAGCATGGTTGAATGTGCATTTCTGGATTTTTTGGACTGACAACAACACAGATTCTTACCCTTACCCTCGCGGAGCAAACTATTAAACTTATGCGTATAGTGGAAGATCGCATATTGCCCGCCGAGGTCAAGACAAAGGTATGAGCGGTGGGTGCTCCTTTGCCATCGATTACCCCCTTTTCTACCTGTGTATATAGTACCTAGCCTGTTTGATTGATACGCCACTATCGGCATTCTGGCCGAGTGGACGTAGCGGATGGCCTTTTTGTTTTCTCGTCCTGCAAAAGTTGACACTACTGTGTAAATAAGTGCGTTGTATTGATGTGTTAGACATAGAAGTACGTCGTATGAGTCGTTTAGCAAGAGCTTGAGCGATGAAATGTATATGTTGTTCAAGAAAGACGAAGTGGTTATGTTTCGTGGTACAGCTTGACATGCTGTTGAGATTTGAGTGATATTGTTTCTACCACGGGTAAACACTAAGAGTGGATTTTACACCACAGCTCTAGAACGCAGAGTCGAGCAAAGTCTCAATCTACTCATCATCCTCCCACCCCTCAGGCACCCACCCAAGCGGCCTCCCCTTCCACATCCCCACCACCTTAACCGGTCCATAGATCTTCTCTCCACCCTCACCCTCATCCCCCTTCAGCACCGCCTCCCCCACTGCAACAGCCTCCTCAATCTCCTCAACATCAACCTCCATATCCTCTCCACCTCCATCCTCCCTCGCCGCATCCAACACCCTTCTCCACTCCGCCTTATTCCCCACTTCCGCACCTTCACACCTCAAGACACCCTCCACAACCCTCAAATTCCAATACGTAGGCTCACACAAACAGTTCCCTAGCACCTCCTCCACAACACCAACCGCCTTTCTCGCAGTCTCCCATTCCCGCGACGTGAGAACATGAAGTACCCAGTCATGCCACGCTTCCTTGACGGGATCATTCTCTGGGCTGCGCGACGAGGGTGCATCCATAGCCTTCAGCATATGAGCGAGGAGTGTTGGGAGGGGGATAGTAGCTGGTGTGGTAGTAGGATCCGGACTGCTACAAAAGGCGAGTAAGAGGGGTGTCCAGATGAGGAAGGCGCCGGACATGCTACTGCCTAGTTTTCTATCCGTGGGTAGGATTGTCTTGGGGTCGAGGAGGGTGTGTAGGGTGATGTTTTTGATCTGCGGTGGTGGAGAGGAACCGCTGATGTTCAAAATGGTGGAACAGAGTGTCGTGTATGAAGATACTGCTTTTGACACCGCGTTAAATCCATCATGTCCTACTGTCTTACTCTTGATTTCCGCCTTGCGGTCTTTGAGGTAGCTTTTCAGCAAACCTTGTAACTTTTCTTTGAAAACTTGTGTGGTTTCTACACCAATCTCCTCATACTCCACTGCTTCTCCTTCGCCATTTGCACCGGAAAACGCCGTCTCAAGCTGACTCCAGTACCATTCCCAAAGCCACTCCAGAGACTCGGCCGCCGTGCGCTTTAGCTCTGCGAGCGAGGGCAGGTGACGATGCACGATGCGGTGGCGTGTTTCCAGGAGTGCTAGGGGCAATTGGAGCGCCTTTCCTGGTACGAACCAACTCGGGCGGTCGCGGGTTAATTCGATTTGCGTGTCTGCGAGGCCGGTTACGAAGCTGGAAGGGGAGGTTAATGTGAGTGTGAGTCAGAATGGGGGGATTTTTTTCGTCTTGGGATTATTCGGCCGTGGGAAGAGGGCTTGCCAGTGCATGTAGCGGTGTGAGATGCAATAATACCCAAGGATGTAGAATCCTTGGGTAAGGAAAAAAAAAGTCTTACCGTGATATTGCAGTTGCGTACAACAATCTGAGTGCATTATGTCCCAGACCGCTCCTTTCGTCTTGCAGGACCACATCAACGATATCAGCCGTAGAGTCTAGCAGCAGTGGCAGACCCTCTGGCTTACGTAGACGCCATGCAAAAACCTAATCCTATTGCATCAGCTCAGCCCATCTTTCTTGACTCCAACAACACCAACAAAAATAGACCCGAATTCCAAGCTTTAAAAAACAGCCATTTTTACCAGACACCAAGGTGGTTGTTGTTGGGCGTGTACACTAACTACTCAGCTTACCTTGTTCACCGCCTTCTGTCTGCAGAATTTGTCGCTAGTATTGTAGAGGTCCTGGCGCAGCTGAAGCAGCTCCTGGAGGTTCCGCCACGCTGTAACTACAAAGCCAGGTTCCGTATCCATATCCATGTATGCTGTGCGTGGGCGAGCTTAATGCTAGGTAAAGCCGCTTCGCGCGACGACGACAATGACGACGACCTATTGGAGGACGTGGAGGGACGGTATTCCTACAAGAAAGACGCCAGGGCAGATGATTGGCTGACGACGCAAAGGTGTGCGTCGCAGATGTGAAGCACGTGAATAATCGCAGCCCTTGACAAATTTTCTGGAGCCGCTACCCTCCGACTCTCCGAGCCCACAAACCCCTGTTCAATCGTGTGTGTTGTGCCAGAGAAAAACCGAACTGATGACATGAGCAACAAAAAAAACGCCAGTGACGTATGGCCGCCCGTCCGTTCCCGTTCGTGTAGGTTGTGCCGGACTTGACCCGACGTAATATGCTATGCTAACTACCCAGTATACCCCATCTTCTGGAACCATTTCCGTCTGAAATGTTATTCGGCGCTATTCCATGCATCTAGGCTCGGAGGGGGCAGAAAAGCGCAAATGCAGCAGTGCAGGACTCGGTTCGCGCTTGGCCTGGTGCCGGCTGGGGGGAGTTAAGGTAGGGGGAGGGGTGGGACCCGCACTATGGAGAGGAGAGAAAATGGGCTGTGCAGAGGTTGAATGTTTGGTACAAGGCAACTGTGGCGGGCGGGCTCGTCTCTCGCTTGGCCGAAGTTGAGCGAGATGCGAGATGGGCGCTGATGAAAATCCACTCTGCCCTAACTTGACTCTCGACCTCGCTCTCGTTCCTGCAAGCACGTGCAAGCATAAACATGGCTGATGCCATGGGACCACCGCAGGCAGCACGCGCAGGCTCGTTCCGTTGGACGGCGTCAACATCGGCCGGACCTCGATGTGAGCCCGACGCCGTTGCTGCCGTCGGCCCAGTGGGTGTAGGTGTGCGTGCTCTCGAAAAAGGTTGGCAAAATTGAGGTCCAAGATGATGAGGCTGGTGTGTGTGTCACGCCCCCTTCGGTCCTTTGCCGGGCAATGTGACACAATTGCGTCGTGCTTCATTTGGGCCAGACTAGTACCTAATAAAGCATGGATGCCCGAGAAGCTTGCGGCGTCATGTTGCCGATGTGTGATTTGTTGTGCGAGATGCGCCCTGGGTCAGGTACACTACGCTGTTGGTTTTGGTTACGGTGCGGCATGCGCCGAGGCCAAATCGTACCAACGGCTGGTACCTACCAGGGTCGGGTGTCCAAGCTAAGTAGAGTGTCCAAGCTAGAAGCGTTGAAGAAGCTTGCTGGTCGAGTGCGTATTACTAATTATGTCACGGCAGTTGCGAGTCTCACAGCTGAAGCAGAGACGAACACGGCCTGTCTTCCCCTCTCGGCAGTCGACGTGGTCATCATCTTCACGGCTGAACGACCGACATAGGGGTACATGTAGTACCTTTTTGAACACGAGAGATCAGCACAGTGAGTTTGCACACATGACGTTGGTGGTGTGATTGATGATGTTATTGATTGATGTTTGATTTATCCATGTGGTCTATCTACTGCATCGCCATCTGGGCCATGCAACTGATTGCCCGTGAGGGCTGGGTATCTCCAAGTTCTCTTCCCGGTCCCAAGCAGGACCTTGCAAAACGCCTCGCTGTGCTATGCTAAAAGTGAAAACAATGTATACAAGTGGAGCCGTATCACATCCGGCGCGACGTGTTTGAAACAGGCACAGGCACCACCCCACGCTCAAGCCTCAGATCCATCCGAATCCCAGTCCGGCGTCCCGCACCGGCATAGAAGGTTGCTTGACCTGTTGAAACCACCACTCCTTGGACGCCGTCTCGTCCTCGTCGAAAAAGAAACTCTGACCCTCCATGCTGCCTGGTGTTTGAGACTGGACATGGACTGGCATGTGAGCCTGCTCATGTACGGGCGGGAGCGGCGGGGACGGCTCATCCACACTTGCCTCGGAGCTTGCGTCATCATCGTCGTCCTCGTCGTTGTCCTCCTCAGGTGGCTGCCATGTCTCTTCGAGCTTCAGTCCCTTGCCGGTTCCTTCGCTCATTCCCCACGATGATGGCTCTGGTGCGTCGTAGAGGCCGAGGGCGACAAGCTTCTCGCCGTCGTCTTCCTCCATGTCTTGATTTTGCTGGGATGGGTGCTGAATGGGGAGAAAGTCGGAAGATGCCTGTGCTTGGTTCTTTTGGGCCCATTGTTGCAGGTACCAGGGGAGGGGCTCGGTAGTGGGCGTGCTCATGGAAGAATGCATATAGGTTGGTGTGTGCTGGGATACGCTTTGCCATCCATAATCGGAATCATTCGAGTAGATTGGTGCAGTAGTCATGGGCTCGAACATGGAGTTGCGTGTGGAAAGCGAGTAAAAGTCTGAGCCATGGCACGAGTCTCTTGAAGAGGGGGAGTATTCTTGTGGCCATTGTTGTTGGGATTGGGTGGCCTGGTATTGCGAGCATGATGGGTGCCAGCTCACGGGCCGGCTTGGCTGTGGACGCTCCTCAACCTCATCGGCAGCCATGCCGAACATCATCCGGTAGTGATCGTCCAAGGTTGCGTATAGCTTGGGTTCGGTCGTCGTCTTCCTCCTCTCCATGGCCTTTGGGCTGTTGTGGTGGCTCTTTGGCTTCTCGACGCGTGCTGAACGGCATGCTGGTTGGTTGGTTGAGCCGCGGGAGGTGCGGTGGTGTAGTTGTGAGGTCTGCATGTGTCCGGACATGATTGCTGTGTGCGATGTGATGTGGGAGGATGGTGTGTTGATATACAGCACAGGAGAGAGATGTATTCAGGCTGGTCGGACTATCTGAGGATACTATGTCTGGGGGCATCTGCATAGGTATATGGGGTGCCAAGAGGCATGGACAGATCAGGAAGGATGGATGGGGAAATGTCCATGTGGTAACCGGGCGTGCAGAGTCATGGTAGACGGAATGCCAGGGTGGACTAGCGAAACTCTTGTCGGGGCTAGGAAGGGAATAGGTGCAGACAAGGAACGGGAGTGTGTTGACAGTACGGAGCGGCCAAGGGATGGCTCGGTGAGGGAGCGCTGTGACGACTAGGGCCAGTGGCACGGCTGGAACGATCAGCCAAAGGCATAGTGCATCGCGAAAAGGAAGGCTTGGAATGACCAAATCACAAGACAGGGAAGGGCTGGAGGTGTATCATGGCGCAACGCGCAACGGAGCATCCGTGCAGCTAGACGAGGCCGGCTCATGGAAGATTGGCAAGGGAGGCGCGCTTGGAGATGTGGATGTGGACTTTTTAGTTTTGGGTGGGTGGTGGTGCGGTTGCGGGCTAGCCAGTACAGTACGACTCAGCTGGTAGGCCGGGGGGTGGTGGCAGTGGTGGGAAGGGGAAGGGAAGATGGCACTGAAGAGAGTCGGTCAACTAGGCCAGGTATCTGCAGCGTCATGGTTTAGCCGCGCCTGCGGGCAGCATGATTAGTGGGCTGTGGGCGCAAGCCGGCGATACTGTGCGTGGGTGGGCCAGGCCAGCATAGTGCAGATGGAGTAATGGAGTAATGGAGCAGGTCGAAGATGCGTGTCGTCGGCGCCAGGCGCATGGCGAGGTCAGGGGCGACTCAAACTGTGGTTGGCGCACAAAGTCATTGCTAGGAGTGTTAGTGGGTACGGCATGGAGTGGATAGACGGCGCAGTGCGGGTGAAAGACGTCTGCGTCGTAGCCAAAGCGGACCCATGCAACTATGGCCTCGTAGCTGCGCGTGCAGCCGGCAAACCACAGTGCTGGCCCATGGCATCCAAGCGCGATCTGGGGTGGGCGCTGCTCCAAGCCGTTAATTGGACATGATGCTAGCCGACCGTCTTCCAGAAATCGCCAGTAGTCAGTCCTAGGGAGCTGGCCCCGGTCGCCTCCAACGGGCTCCGCGAGCCTATCCCATGTCCGCGACATGCACCACCAGACACGCACATGCTGCCTGCCGTCCGTCACACTCCAAACGGCGCGACTGCGACGCTGGCGACATGGCCGAGATTGCATCAGCCTTGCAACAAGCCTCTCTGGAAAGGCTGCCTGTCTGAGCACACCGGACGCACAAGGCCCATCCCCTCCCCTTCCCCTTGCTAAACGCCAGTCCCCATTCATCCCTACCTCATCGCGACCCTCCCCGACCCTCCCCCTGCCATCGGTCGGCCCCCCGGCGTGGGTGCGTGTGCCGTCACAGCGGGTTGCGCCAAAGTCGACACTGGCACTGGCCCCCCCCGTAATGACCGTGTCGAGTCTGACACCCTGGTTATAGTTAGGCAGCGCCGAGAGGAAAACCACATTAACCTTGGGCCACCGCCGTGCTCCACCTAGGCACGCCTTGAAACCATGAAGCGCTGCTAACGTTGTATGTCGGGCTTAAACAACCCAGCAGCAAGAGAGTGACCGGACAGTTACACGGGCACGGATCCGGACACGGACACGGACACGACCAGCGACAAAATATTGGCGCGTTACGGCTTCGTGGCATATCACACTATCACTGATTGCACTCTGTCTCTGTGCGTCGCCCAACGTCGCTGCAGCCACACGTGATGCTGCTCAGCTCCAGCTCCCGATCCTCACTGACACTCCCTGCTGCACCTAGTGCGAACGCCGTAATGAAGCTGCAAGCCTGCCGTCCTTGACCTCGCCTCACGTGCTGCACCAAGCCCTCAACCACCATGACAACCGGGTGAAGTCATCCATCCAAACTTCCCACGCCTGCAGACCGCCCTGACGACCCCACGGTCACCAAGCCCAAACCGGCAGTGCCGTTCGATAACCAGAAATCCCCGGAGCGTGGCTGATGAGATGCAGCCGAAGCGCCGAAAGCGAGAACCCTGACTACTATCGTCCCGCCTGAATGATCGACAGCGGTTCAACGCGGGCGCAAGGATGTTTTGGGTCGTTCAAACGAACAGCATCATGTCAGGGGGGCTGCATCTTGTCGCCAAATTCAGCATATCAAAACCTGCACCTGCGGCCTTGCATGCAATGTCTTTCTTGGTCCGCAGACGCAGACGCTTTCGACAAACGTCAATGTGGTAAACCTCCACTTGGCTGCAGCCGCATACCCATATCGTCCACATGTGCCTCCGACTTCCCTCCTGATGCATGCCACATCACAAAGGCGGTTTCATGGATGCAGCTCCTCATTTGTGCCCACGAAGAAGCAACCCTCTCTCCCACATGCCAAAAACCCAGTGTGGGCGAGCCAGTCAAAGAATTATTGCAACTAGCGCGAGCCCTGGGCAACAAATCAATGCACCGGCTCCCATAATCCACCCCCATCCCGCCCGTCACATACCGTATGACTCTGCGTGCCACTGCGTACCCAGCCTCGGTCATTTAACAACTGCGGCGCAGTCGTACGACTTTGTGCATCCCATCACGAGACAAACGGATACATGGAAAAAGTAAAGTAAGCACCGAGCTGTCACCGGAACCCGGTCCAGTTGCTTGATCGTCTTCTCCGAATCTGCGAACTACCGGATCGAGGTGGTCGTGGTAGTGCTGGTCCCGAAGCTGACCTGCATCTTGCCGTGCCTCCGTCAGCTGCAAGCTGTCGTCGACGAGCACAAGGCCGGCCACAACCATTGTACCCGTTTGGAAAGCCGTGCCTAGCAGCCGTGCTGTGCGCTGCTCGCCGCTCGCCTCATCAATCGAGATTGCAGATTGTACTTGTAGACGCTTGTCGTCGTGTGTCGACGACGAGGCTTTCTCCGCCGACATCCCTCTACCTAGCGCATCTGCGCTCAATGTGACGCGGCGCGGGTGGCTAGCCTCGACAAAGTGTATTCAGGCCAAGCGCTGTCCATGTCCATGTTTAGCATGCCCATGCAGGAATCTGCAACACGGGAAAGAAACCCTTTAATGACGTATCGGCGGGTGGACCACGAGTCGGGTGGGTCGCTAACGTGGCGTCTCATCGAGGATTAGGCTGTTAGAAGAAGGAAGAAAAAATTGCGGTATGAGCGGCATCGTCTACGCTAGCCAACCAACGAGATAGGCATGTACGGCGTACGGCTCACTTATTAACCCTGTCGATAACAGGGCCCATCTCCACACTTGTTGTCGGCAAGCATTGTTGTCTGTGATTACGGTACATCTTCGCATCGATCGGTAGTAGATTCATAAAATGTGGTGCCCATTTTCATGCCGACATGCTGCAGGTGCATCAAAAACCACTCCTCAACTCCCTAGCTTCATTGTTGATGCTAAGTTTCGCAAGACCAAACAAAGCAAGCAGCGCGAAGGGAACAGGTTGCCTGAGAAGGACTTGGTAGGCTCGGTAGCTGCATTATTTGTGGATGGTGATCAGCAACGGCTCGTCTACTGGTGATGCGTGTTCTAGACTCGTCCAAGGTCCATGTCAAACACGAAATTCTCTTACGAACGCGGCGGCACTTTATCCTTGGATGCGAGCATTAGCCTCCCCAAGCGGCTTGATAGCCCACTTGTTCAACGTTGAAGCTACGCTGGCCAATCGCGTTGGTCCGACACTGTCCCCTGGGTGCCTTGATCAGCAGCCACACTAGCTTGTCGGTGAGCCTCCTTATGGCTGCGAGTTTGTGCTGGATGCGACGTAGGAAAATTTGCCGGTTCCAAGTGGTACGGTCACGCTGACAGGGAGAAGGTTCAGGACATGGACAAGAGCCTGTCTCCACTTGTTATATGCTGTGACGGTGGCTGGGCTATGACTTACCGCCCAGCCGGATGTCTCTCTCAGACACCACAGCAACCATTGCAGGCGTATGTCGAGTGAAGAGAATCTGTAAACAGTCGTGACGCCTTTGGCATCACGTACACGTCGGTAACCTTGGCTTCACACACACGCAGTGCGTCGCAGCGTGCTGAAACTTGCACTCGGCCGACTCGCGCTCAGCCTAAGCATTACGACGCAACAGCTGAAGCCGTGGATGCATCTCCGCAAAGCTCTCCACTATCCACTATCCACTATCCACTATCCACATCCACACTCCCCTCCCAGGACCGGGTGGTGACTCGGTTCCACGCAGTGCAAGCGTTTGTTTTCCTTCTGCCGCTTCGCCGTGACCCAGGCTGCTTGTCGCACCTCTTTAGCTTCGGTGTGAGCTCGCATCCGCGCTCAAGGCCCCAAGCCAGCCACGCAGCTACAGGCTGCGCGTCGTTTAATGCGACACGAAGACGCCAGGACGAGCAACATTGAAAATCGGGCGCCGTGACGATTCGGGGCGATATTGAGGCGCTTGGTGCTGCAAATTGTGCCGGCATCACTGTGCCAATATAGAGCCAAAGTTTCTCAATCAGCACACGCTGAGTATCCGAGGTCGGGCCACCTTGGACGTGATGCTTACTCTTTACAGTTACAACCCCGATCTGACTCTTGTAATACTAGGGACCAATGCAGTAATGCTGCTCCGCTTTAATTTTGCTGCAGCACACACCCTTAGTCGCCCTGCTATACAGCGCCTCTCCATTCGTCTGGTAAGACTGAGCTTCAAATCATGCGTGCCGCCGCCGTTACGACCCCATGTGTCAAACACGATCCCAGGTTCGGTGCTAACATGGGCACCACCGCTGACCGACAGTCCTTCGTGTCGAGGTGAGGTGACGACAATATTGCTCGACGAGTCGGTCGCCGCCGCTCAGAGTCATCAAGCGCCAGGACCGACTGACGGGCGCCCACAGCTGTCTGCAAGTGCCTCATCGACCGGCGTATGACGGCGCAAATGGGCCCGCGGATGCTATGCATGCACCATGAGTTTTTCCATCCTCACCAGATCGACAAGTCGCCCATGTTCTTGTTTTCACGGCATGTGCTCCAGCCTCCCGGTGCAGGCTAAATCCTGCTTACGCGGCGATCTCAAAGTCGACTTTTCCACCCTTATCCGCCATTAAAAGCAGTCACACTTGCATGGCACGCTAGCATATTGAACGCCTATTTTTGGGCACCCGAGACAAAGATCTGATCTCTGCGTAAAGTGTACGCAAGTCGCTTATTGCCCGAGTTGCCGCCTTCCCATCTGTCGACAAAGCCTGTTTGATGACCACCACAATCCGGCTTGTCCTTTTGTCGTGGACACACACACACACACCCATGTTTTCACGGCGTTGCGGCTAGCAGGTGCTCCATCACCGCCCGCAACACTGCCCCTCTTGGGCCAGCGCCAGCACCTAGCAAAGACCTGGAACTCTCCCCCAAACATACCGCTCAAAGGACAACATGCTGCTCAACACAGCAGGGTGGCTTAACTTTCCGACCTGTGTTTCATCGGGATTTACTCCTTCCGCCAATCCCGCTCGCACTTGCGCACTCGCTGCCCGACAAACTTGTCAGCTGCCAGCTGCCGGTTGCCTACATGCACACCAAGTGGTGCCGTTGCCTTCACAGCCCACCCCACCGTATAACAGGTGAAGTTCGTAATTCCATGCGGGCCCGCAGTGCTGTCATACGAAAGCCGTTTTCTTTGCCCAATGTGTGCGCACCAAGAACTTTCTACAACCTCGCCATCAGATGATCAGCCGCATACAACGATGACCCAGGACGCAACACGCTATCCTTCTCCAGCTGTCTGGACATGACACGAACCTCGCTGGTAGCTTCGCTTACAATACGTGGATAACCCTTTGACGCCCTAACGCCAGTTCCAGCCCTTGTTTCCCGGTACATGTGTCCTTTGGAGAGAGTGCAGCAGGCAGCGTCCTTGACAAAGCCAAAAAAGCCGGCTGGCTCCCCTTTGCCCCAACAAGTTTTCCGGGGTATCATGTACCGATCACTGTGCCTCAAGCTGAGGTAGTACTTCGGACCCACGAATATCCGGATCTGCTATGCAACACACCGAAAATCGTGCCTTCAAACAGCCCCAGCTTACCCCAATCTACCTCACGCAGTAGCATGTACGCTTCATTACTCGCGTCGTTGTGTTTTTTGTGGTCATGGTCGCGCCAAAAAAACCTCCCGTTCGTCGTATAGAGAACAATGCTGGTCCTTGTGGGTTTGTTGCAATAGCCGCAAAAAAACCCTGCGTCGCAGATGCCGAGCGTGCCATACCGTCGCCAGTCAGACCCAGGTAATAACAAAAGGCAATATTTCCACACCGTGACCAAGGCACGGTAAGCAAATGGCCTGCATGTTGATCTCTCTCACACACACATCATACCTACACACGGCTCATTCCTTCACCTAAGCCCCCGGTGTGTAACGAAACAAATCCTCTTCCTTCCTGGGTCGTCCCGGTGCAAAAGCCCATCGTGTTGTTCCAATACGCTCGGCTGTCGTACCCACCCTGTAGCGCTCAACCTAGGTAAAGCACGAAAAAATCGCCCAGCGTAGATTACACTTTTGCTGCACTCGACTAAGACCCACGACTTTGACCGATCAGGCCTCCCATTCCTTACCTACCAATACTCCTCCTTGCCTTGCCAAATGTTAATCATCTGCGCTGCGCTCGCCGGCCCGATTCCTCATTGAATCTTTTACGACAAACGCCGTGGATGTACATGTCTGTAGTCGTATGTAGTATTATTGCCTTCACCCCGCCTAATCCGCCGTTCCTCCCAGCCCAGCAACTCGTAAACCAAAACTAAAAAAGTAGTTCCAACGTTCTTTTTGCCACATATTATACCTCTACATACATATATACATACCGAACTATACCCACACCCCACCCTACCATCCCATCCCATCCTATCCGCACCTGCAAGTAACAATACCAATACCACGCTACCACGCTTACGCTGCAGGAAGGTGTCATTCATCGGCTGAGGCGGGTCCCCCCTCGCCACCTTGCATGGCTTGGTAGATTGCAGATCATGACGAAGACGCTGTAATGCGGGGCTCTCTTTCGCGGCTGGGATAACGTATGTATGTACTGTAAAACATGGATTAGTCTCTTTCCCAAGCACGGGCACTGGTTTGGTGGTAAGTTGGTAAGCGGTGAGTCAGATTGTAGTGGTTTTCTTGCGCCGACGATTTGCCTGGCGATGAATGGGGCGGAGGGGTCGGATCGGATCGGATCGGATAGATTGGATCTACGGGGTTTTTGGTGGTAGGTGGTAGGTGGTATGTGTATGAAGATGGAAGGTTTTTTTTGATGCGTTCTGCAACCTTTTGGACTAGTTTGGTGAATGTGAATGGGATGAGACTTTTGGTAGGTAAGTAGACGCTGTGCCGGCCGGAATGACGGATGTGGCTAGGTAAGATTGTCCTGTATCTATGTACTCTATACGGTACATACGGCACGATAACGGCGTTACTGTTGTCGTTTTTTTTCCTGCCTAGAACAAACTCAACTCAACCATACCACCGCAAAACCGTCACTTAGTTTCGCACGTGCAAATAAAGGTTTTAGTCCACCTTGCCCATGCCACCGCAATAACGTCTACTGCTCTACCTATCCACACATCTCCCTCCACTCAAACCTTCTACATACTCCCACCATCGCCACCCGCCAGTCACACTTACACAACAGCCACTCACCGCATCGCCCTTCGCCTCCTCCGTCAAACCTACACAACAGCAACACTTTCCCATCTACCGGTTCGCTTCGGTCCAGCAAACGCGTATCTCGTACGATATCCGCTGCTTGGCACTTGTGTTCCTTCGTGTAGCCTTTGCACCCTACCTAGTCCCTTAGCGTAGATGGTTATCGGGATCGCTGGGAAAGGCGCCGATGTAGGTGCTGCTGTGTAGGTTTGACAGAGGAGGCGGAGCTGGACAACGCACTGCATCTGCGTTTTCTCTCACCGAGATTTTCTTTGTGGGAGATGGGAAACAGGCGTGTATGGGTGTGGGTTGACCGGGTTTGCTTTTGCGGGGAGTACGGGTGGAAGTGGAAGCAGAAAGTACTTTTTAACGGGCCGGGGAGCTAACTTGACGTTGGTTTTCCACCGACGCGAGTACTAGCTGTGCTGTTGCATGTGATGTGATGTGATGTGGTAGAGGTGTTATTTTGTTTGGCTAGGTAATGAGTGTTCGGTCCGTCGTTGTAATTGTGAGGGTTGACTTGTGGTTTTGATAAGGGTGAGCCGATATTGTAATTTGATTGACTTTGAAGTTAGCTAGTGCTATCCATGTAGTGTCTACATAGGGCGTACTGGGCTTAGAAAGCGTATAGCCTTTACTGGGTATCTTGGATGCGAGGATGCGAAGACTTAAAGACTTGGTCGAAATACCCCTTGTCGTGTGGATAATGGCCATAGCCTACTATGAAGGTTTAAGTCGTACGTTGGCGCCATCATGAAGAAAAGCGACTTAGAGTATTCGAATGCATCATCGGTTTTGGCGCTTCGAGTATACGGATTTTCTCACTCCGGGCTGTGAATTTCACATGCCGTGAAGCATATGTATCGATTATTAACGGTATCACGACCTCCCTACTGAGCTTTGCGGGTGGAAGCTTCTTCTTCAGACTGACGGTCAGACAGGGATCGGTCGGGTCTTGTTCGATTGTTCGTACAGCATGTCGCGTGCGTTTCTTATAGCAGAAAATTTTGCAATGCATGAAAGGTACCGATAGATTAAACTAGTATTTTCTTAGGAGCAGATCATGTTTCGAAGCGACGCGGTTATGATGCTGGTCCAATATGAGGTAACTTATTCCGACGTTAATAATAACATTAAAATAGCTCTTGAACTCAGGCATAAAGTTGGGGCTGCAAATTCCTGTGCCTCCAATACGTTCGGAATTCTGATGCTCTATCCAGATGTGCGGGGTTCCGCAATAGGGTTTGTCAAGTGCTTCAGGTCGAGAAGGGTTCAGCTGTTGTAACTTCTCGACCACTTCGACGGCAAGTGGGCTACTGAGCCGATCTTAGTTTAACGTCGATGATACGAATTCGGTGAGGAACCGAAGTCTATTGGCGTCGGGACTTTCTGGTAGTATGGCAGTTTCATGGACAATAGCGAGCCGAGTAGTTGTCGCCTCGAGATGGCGGGTAACCCCCATGTCCTTATTGCTTGTTCTTCTCCGATGGCTTACGATATCAGAAAGGCTGTGACCGTAGAGCCCCGAGATTATCTCAACCAGAACATATCCAAGTGAGAATATATCGCTGGCTCAATTTTAGGGGTCGTAATCAAGCACCTCTAGCGAAGCGTATTGGTATGTATACTGAGAGGGTCGACCGTCGGCCATCGAGGCAGAGTCGTCGGAGAAGTTAAGCCTATGCACTACTAGTGCTGTGGTCTGTATGCGTGGTATCAGAACTTCCCTGATGCCAAAGTCGGCAAGTAGCATGTTGTCCCTATACACAAGTCTTTTGTGAAGCTTGAGGTCTTTGTGCCTAACCAGCTCCTAAACTATCATGGAAAACAACCTCCGATTCGTGAGAATTGGATACATATAGCGAGCTCCATAGGCCCGATGCATATATACACCTAAGTTTCTTGTTTGGTTCTATACGTGCCGGATCTGCTTCTAATATGGGTAGTGCTTTTATAGCAGGTAGCAAGCCTCTGATATAAATTAGGCATTTTCACTTGTGCAAAACGTCTACTGTCGTTTGATACCATAGCGGGAAAAGATTAAGATGGGCGGAGCGAAGAATACTTACAAGCATCGCAAATACAGTCGAATCCATTGCAAAAAGTTCTGCGTTCGTCTTTCTCAATCGGAAGATCCTAAAATTTGGCAAGATCCACATCAGCCAAGGCGTGAAGAGAATGTTGGTTGAGTATGTGTCTGTATAACTTTGATTAACTGGACACTATGACAATGGTCGATTTGACGCATGATATCAATCTCAGAAGCAAAGGCGGTCACATACCCTTAGTTTCTTTTTTCGCTTTTTCGGCTGAATCAACCTATGGATTTTCTTTTCGTGCGACAAGTGGCTGAGGTTGTGTTGGAATACTCACCCCCGAAACCGCGCCCACTCCCCCGGCAAGTTCACGAACCTCATCTAGGAAACAACTATCGTGTTTTGAATGCACAAGGCTCTAAATATAGAGGGGTATGTTGTTTTGCGAGAGACTTGGTATCTAGCCTAGGAATAACGTACTAAGATGTGTACGCTGTAGAGTTTTAAGAAGGCTGACTATTGCGTGAACGTCGTCTTTAAATGTACTCTTAATTAGACATTTTGGCATTAGAAGCCAAAATTCGTTGATTTTATCATTGCTCAAGACATTCTGCGTGCGTAGGCTTTCGTTAGCAAGCCTTGATAGAATCTGTCCTAGTGTAGAGCTCTTGGAAATGCTTAGAGTTCGAAAGGACTCTTGTTTAACTCAATTGACACTGCTCCCAATACATTTCGAATCACATAGCACTTCTCATGCGATTCAGAATGATAGGTAGTATTATCGTTGCCGTTGCTATTTTGATGGGTTACATTGTGGTGTTCATCGTCTTGGCGTGATAGATGGTAAGCGTGGGTAGTATGTGCCGGTAACATGTACCGGTAGCGATCGGAGAACTGGCGGAGCAACTAGGCTTGTCGCTGATTTCCTGGGCGCGTTTTATCCTGATTGTTACTGCTTACAGTGTCGGATCGTTTGGCGGCAACTGAACTTGGCTTCTCTGGCTGCCCACCGGAGTTGACTTTCGGCATACATGACGGGAAGTGCTCACTACAAATAAGGGCAAAGTTAGCTGCCCGTTCCATAAGCCAGCTATCGTAATTCAGCAGGAGCTGTATAACAATGTCCCGATTCGGATTGGAGAAGGGGATTGCATCTCAAAACACCCATGAACGACATGCATGATCCCCGCAATACACGTGACCGTCGCTTGCACCTTCCCCACCCATCATCTATCCACATCTCTCATGCGATAAGCTCATCAACCTCTCCGCACACCTGGGCACACAATGGCCCAAAGCCAGAGTTTGCGGACGCTAATCTCTTCTTTGCGCCTACAAAAGCCTTTGCCCCCATGAAGCTGGAAGCATTGTTAACTCTCCACTCACCCAACAACTCCAAGCCGACATCTTGACAAAATGCCCATCCAAGTAACGCGCATGGCGGAAGCCGACATCGACGGCGCAGTAACGACAATCCAAGAAGCCTTCGCAGACGACCCTTACAAGCACTGGGCATTTCCCGACCCATCAAAGGTGCGTTTCTTCAATCTGCAACTCAACATCATTCTAACATCATCCAGTTCTCTCCAGTGCGAAATCGCCTATCGCTCTCAATGCGCTGCCGATGGGGTATCAAACATGGTCTCTTCCACGTAGCCCGCGACACATTGGACCCTACCAAAATTCTCGGCTGCGCAATGTGGATGCCGCCCCACCCCACCTCTGAGCCTGAATCATGGTCTCTCTACCTCTCCTACTGGTATATTTGGTTGAACCAAATACGAATGAATCTATGGCATGGTCGCGGCGGTTTATCGAAAACACGGTACTGGATTTGGAAAGCGCGGCAGGCTGAGGCGCAAAAAGAACTGTGGACGGATCCGAATGGATACTATTTCTGCAATATTGTTACTGTGTTGCCGGAGGCGCAGGGAAAGGGTGTGGGCAAGGCGTTGATCAACGAAGTGCTGGATATGGCGGATAAGGAGGGTAGGAGGTCTTATTTGGAGGCTAGTAGGCTCGAGCCGAATGTTGCGATTTATGAGAGGTTTGGGTTTAAGTTGGTGAGGGAGATGGAGTGTAGAGATGGGGATGGGGAAAAGGATTCTCTTACGCTCTATTGCATGATGAGAGAGCCAAAGGGAGTTCAGAGTGGTGAGACCAGTGGAGAGGGAAACAGCAGTGCCGAGGAGACAGCAGGGAAGTGAGGAACGGTCAGGGGAGCCGACACGGATATATTTAACTACCACAATTCTCTACGTCCAAATATTTCTCCATACTGAAATCATCCAGATCTATTAACTGTTTAATCTCCCATTCTGCCGCCCTTTTTGGACCCTCCTCCCAATCTACCCCATTCCAGCCTTCAAACACACTCTTCGCCGCCTCATCCCTACCCTCCCTTTCAAAAGTATCCACGATTACCTGAGCCCCTTTAAAGGCCTTCTCAGCCAATTCATGATCCCCCATTCTAACCGCCCTCCCAATAGCTCCGACAATCTTTGTCACTTTATCCCCAACCCACCATCCCTTCGGCACCAGATCTGCGAGCGCAAACCACCACGCAACCAAAACTAACGCTCTCGGTTCCCTATCTCCAACCAACTTTAGAAAGTCCGGCATAAGAAAGGACGTAAAAACAAATATGCGAACGTAGAAATCCGGGTTCAAGTGATGATAATACAGACTCGTGAATATCGGACTCAGCGCATGAAACACCGGTAACAACGTCATTCCATGCCAATCAACCGGTCCCGAACAGCTGGTCTGAAGCACACCCTGCAGGAGCTCCATGAGAGGCGGTGGCAAAAAAAGGCGGGTTTGCTGTGGAAGCTGCGTGTGCGTGTATGTTGGTGCTGGATTGGGGTTTACAGGCGTAGTCCCTAGCGGACCTATAGGCGCCACCACACCCGCTTTCTCCATGGGCACGACGATAAGAGGAGGGGGCGGCAAAGTGCGCAGTTCGCGGCGTACCAACGGATATACGGAAAGTTTCTCAATACCTTGACCCCAGCGGAGCGAAGCCAGCACGCGAAGCCCCTCGCTGAGTTTTAAGAGCGCGAGTATCCAATCTAGATACTCGGAGTCTTGGTCTGAAACCGGTGGAGGTACGAGAGCGAGGAGGAAGGTGCCGGTAACGAGGACGGCCTCGTAGTTTTCGGCTGTGATGTCTTTTAATGCTGATTGATAGCATTTGAATGTCTTTTGTCGGTATAGTAGGCTTTGTCTCTCTACTTCTGGGTCTGGGCTCTGCAGATTACTGTGTGTAGCGGCGATGCTGAGGATTGCGTATAGGAGGAAGGGATGTGAGATGCTTAGTCGCGGGACGATGTCTCTGTGGAGGGTTTTTACGATGGTGTCGCCGCTTATTACGAAACCACGCCAGACGTTGGCTTTGTAGTACTGTAATAGGTGGTGGTCAAGAGGTGTGAAATCTCCTATGGAGGTTTGAAATGAGGGCACAAGCCATTCGAAAGAGGGACTGTTGAAGTCTGGCGAGTGTACTGCGCTGGGTTTGGTATCTGGAGATTCATGACTGGGTGTTGAACTCGAAGAACTTCTCGGTGTCGGCCAGGAGTCCTGTGGATATTCACACTTCAATCTTCTCAACGTGCAATATTCGCAGTTTGGTTGGCTTTCATCACACTGCACTATTATAAGCTAACATCTCCCATATATGTGTTTTTACTCAAACATACCTTAACTTTTTTCTTCTTACACGTGAGACACCCCCCTCTTGACTTGCGGTGTGGCTTTTTACTTACGAAGCCAGTGCTTCGGCGCGCCATTTTAATTTCACCCGCGAAGGATTCGTATATCTTAAGAGTGCCGCATTGTGTTGTGGTAGAGGCAAGGTTCGGCGGCCGCGTCAGTCAGGCGTCCAGGCGCTTTGATTGTGGCTGAAGGCTAGCTTGCGAAAGCTGAGATCCGTATTTCTAGTCATCCACGTCATCTCTAATACTTAAATATTCGAGCCTGTTCCTAAAGAAGGGTGAGCTTACTGAATTCTGGTGACTTCTCAGGATTTATTGGGTTGTCATATCTACCAAGTGTGGCTGTGAGAGTCTTGGAGTACGTCGCACTGTCCTGCGCTGTCGTAGGGTGAGTGTCTGTGAAGTAATCCTCAAACTACCGCAGCCATGGAGTAAAATGTGTGTAAAAACAGCAAAAGGCCCTTTAACTAGATATGATAAAACGGACAAGCACTAACCATGACTTGCTAAAATTACATACACATTTCAGACGCTCGAAACGCAACTAGCGGAACAAAATACGCCGAAAACAGAAAGAAAGAACTCTCAAACCACACCCTCCACAACCCTGATCTCACCATCACTATCCCCATCGCCCTTCTCCTCCACCATCACCACATCCCCTTCCAAACACCTCTCCGGCCTCAATACCGCCAAAACCACCAATACCGCCACCATGGGCAGCGCATCAAAGCAATACAACGTCCACTCATGCGCCATAGCATATGCCGCATTCCCCATCGAATATTCCACCAACCGAAACACACACCTCAGCAGAATCAACGTACTAACACCATAAAGCACATATAGCGTCTTCCTCCAGACAGGCGGCCCTTTCTCTACAGTAGACGCTGAAGTAGTTTGTTTCCGCAACATCCTCCACTGAAAGTCCAGGGCAGCGGTGAGGAAGACGAGAAAGGTAGCGACTTGTAGTGCTAAACCCGCGATGACGATTTTCGAACCGGCGATAGCGAGGGAGAGTTGCATTGTTCCCATGATGCTGGATCCTGTGTAGTATTCTCGTTAGTAAAAGTCACTCTCCTTCTCTCCCCCCATACAACAACAGAAATGAGAGAGAGAACAACATACCCAACCCCTGTACTATCAACGTCAAAACATCCGCCCCCACAAACACCCTCGTACACCACCTCGGCCCCACGAATCCAACACTCTTCCCTCCACCAGCAACCACCATAACCCTCCCAAAGACCACATAAATACCCGCCGCAAACCACAACGGCCCCACAAGCGTAAGCACGCCTTGAACGATAAACGGACCCCAAGCCGTATTGTTATAATGTGAGAATGTACGTGCGGTATAACCTGCTGTTTCGCCTGGATATGTTCCCAACCATTAGCTTCTGGGAAACCACGTCTGGTAGGGCAAAGTCAAAGAAAGATGACAAGGTAAATACATACAAACCGCACCCACAAAAACCAATCCAACAACCCTATTACTCCCCTTTACATAAAGCGCCAAATGTACAATCGCCAGGATACCAAAGGCGACGACGCAGAGGATGGCGGCTGCGAGCGAGGGTGTGTAGCGGTACATTTTGAAGTCAAAGGTTGGAGATGACGGGGGGTTTTGTCGGGGCCAGAGGGGGGCTGCCATTGTAGATGATGGGTGTGTACGGGTAGACAGGGACTTTATACAGCAAAGAAGTAGATACGAAGCCCACGGTGGAATACAGTACAGCGACATCCTACAAAAACAGCTTTACCATCCACTCTTATACATACCTCCAACCCTGTCCTGTCTGCAAGGACGCCTTCCGTATATCCTACTATCTTTCGCATTCGCCTATTTCCCCACGTAGCGTGTATTCTCAGCTATAGTTAACCCTAAAAGCCGCAAAGACTTCACAACAACCAGTCCCTGTACGGCCGTAAGCATACCTTCCGTAAATCCCATGATCGTATCTTTCGCATTCGCTTATTTTCGCATACATATCGTCCAAAAGACGTCATCAAAACGAACCCTCAAACCTTCGCATAGCCATCATCCACAAACGGTTAGCGTGTCTTTACGTCGTGAAAGGAACAGGGGTCAAGTTTCGCATTCGCTTAAGTAGCCAATACAACTTCTCTCGATTATTCTGGGTAGCGGGACGGGAGGACAGCTTGTTTGTTTTTTTGGACGACGCCTACGCCATTGTGGTGCAAGTGCATGATGGATTGATTTGTTGTCATCGATCGATGAGGGACGATACGATACGATACGATACGTGCATAAGTAAGGCTGTGGAAGAGGGTTCCGATCAGAGGCTGGAATCGATACATGGAGCAACATCTGTGTAGAAGTCCGCACCTGCATCTCCCATCAACATGACTGTGCTTGAGTGACAACATTGATACATTACAGAAGGACTGGCATCAGCGGGGTAACCTAACCAAGGCGCCACATGTTGCGGTGCGTGAAAAAATCATGCCAGCACGCAGCCCTTCGCAAACTTTTGTTTCTTTAGGTCATATGTTACATTGTGTGCTTTGGAGGAGCACCCTGGCCCTTATTCCATCCTCTACCACCCCCAAATAAACCAATAAAATCCAAATCCCTAATCAGGCTTTATTCTAGCCCATGACCATGCCCTTGAGACCGGCCATGTCGCCCTCCTTGGCGGCGATTTCAAAGTATCCGTAAATAATGGTGACGGCAAGAAGGATACCAGTACCGCTACCAAGAGCGCCAAGAAGGTCACTGCCGACTGAGAGAGCACCAATGCAGGCACCACCAAAGGCAGCCGCAGTGGGAATGACGCGCTTGAGTTCCTTGTACATGGACTCCTCACGGTGACCAGCCATGACCAGACCCTGCTCCTTGAGCTGCTTAGCGACATCGCGGGGAGAAGAGCCAGAGACCTCAATCCAGGTCTTGGAGAAGACGGCGCAAGCGACGAGCATGTATACGATGAAGACGGCGGTCTTGAGGGGGTCAGAAAGAGCCTCAGTGATGCTCAGAGGAGGAGACCTGGATCATGTTAGTGACCGAATCAAAATTGCAGATTGTTCAACATACATGTAGTAAGCAACACCGGAGGTGGCAAAGAGCTGAGCGGAACCCTCCTTGGGCTCCCAGACACCGAGAAGCTTGACAAGGAGGTTGTCAGAGAAGCGGCTGTAGAGCATCTGGCTAATCAAGAAGACGTTGGAGGACAAGGCCGACTGCAGCATGATGGGCATGTTGGAGGTGTAGAACAGACGGACGGGGTATGAGCCACGAACACCACGCTGGCGGGCGGACTTGACTGGGATCTCGACGCGGAAGCCCTGAAGGTAGATGACAGCACCGAAGACAATGACGGTGGAGATTAGGTTCATGACGTTGGGCAGGTTCTGGCGGTAGAAAGCCTCCTTGAGCGCAACGGTCTTGTTGGGCCAGGTGAAGAGCAGGTGAACAAGGGCAATGAGAGCACCCTCGAACTCTGGGCCACGACCAGTGTTAATGGTGGTGGGAGAGAAAGCCTTCCACATGATGGACTCGCAAATGTTGGTGGCAATGAAGAGGGAAATACCGCTGCCGAGACCATAGCCCTTCTGGAGGAGCTCGTCGAGGAGAATGACGATCAGACCAGCGATCATAAGCTGAATGACGAGGAGAACGCAGATACCGGCACCAAGATCAGACGGCTGTCCGTAGAGACCAGAGATGACATAGACGACGGCCTGACCGAAAGACAGGAGAATAGCGAGGAGCTTCTGTGCAGTCTGGTAGAGCTCGCGATCGGACTTGAGGTCAAGGTTAACGTCGATGAGGTGGGTTCCAGCGAGGAGCTGGAAGACCATGCCGGAGGTGATGATGGGTGTAATACCCAACTCCATCAGTGTTCCTCTGTTACTCGCCATCATCATACGCAGCCAGTATAGAGGATCCGACGTATCAGACGACACGATTCCGTACAATGGCATCTGGCTCATGACCAGAAAGACAAGGAGCGTGAGACCAGTCCATACTAGGCGATTGTTGAATGGGACTTTGCTTTCGGGCAGCTGAATCTCGGGGACGAGAGGCACAAAAGGCTTGACAAGATCGAGGAACCGTACTGCACGCGACTGTTAGCTGGTTTGCTCTGCGCCGCATTTCCACACAGCCATTGCATTGCGCAAACGGCGGTGCGGACCCATTGCGGGCTGGGTGGTTGACTTACGGCCGCTCATGATTGCGATCTATGGCCCAGAGACAAGAAAGAAGACAAACAGAAGTGAAGAGAAGTGGTTGCGGACAGCCTGGTGATGAGGGATGAGAGGGGGTTGAATTGTAGCTTTCGCAACGTGTCGCTGGGGAAATTGCCCGTGCGGCGCGCTAGCCGTAGCTCGATCCCTGAAGCCTTCTATGCGCCTCTAACACTGAACTCACAGAGGCCACGCTGTTCTGAGCGCCTGGGAATTATTATGGGGCCGTCACTACGCAATAGGGTTCGAGCTTGCCGATGCCGCTCTGACGGAGACTTGGTCGAGGCTGTCATGGCATTACGGACGCTCGCAACAACCGCTCTTCTTCAGCTGTCTTCCGAGGCTCAATGAACCAGTCACGTGTAATATTCAAAAGCATTAATCTCCGATACGCCATCTTGTTGTTTGTTTTGGCGGTTCGACAGTATTTAGCGTCGAGGCGCGACCATCTGCCTCTATCTGAACTCAGCTGCTATCATCCTACCACTCAATGTTTTCCGAGGAGGAACACCACATTGGCAAGTATCAAGAGCACGATAATGACTTGTACATACATAAGCGACGCGGGGTAGTCATCAAAGCATCAGACCTTATTCACTATTCGCTCCTTTCTCATAAGGTTTCTATTACATCAGTGTATGGGATTAGTAACTCCTTAGTATGCCCGATTTGGCGCTATCATGGACTGTCACAACTGTGCCCGGGTCCCACGACTGATTCCACAACTCAAGTGAATAACAACTCATCACTAATTAGAAGGACAACCATGGCGAAACGAGAATCAATTTCTATACATTCGGGCTTATTTTGTCCCTTGTCTTCATGAAGCAGGCTGCTGCTTCTTAAACTTCATTACTCATCAAGCCAAAGCGCATGCTTCGAATACCGACATGCCTCTGCGAAACAACCACTAAGCTACGAAAGCGCTCAGATAAGCTGCTGGAAAGCACGGTCAAGAGGAGATCGGAGAGGCTTGACCTCCTTGTAGAAGTCAATGGTAGCCTTGGCACGCTTGGCAATGCCCTCGGGGGTGAACTCAAACTTCTGCAATGGTTGTTAGTATCTAGTACACTTGTAAATCTAATGAAATCTCTTACCTTGTAGACCTCCTTGTATGGGCCGGACGCACCGAAGCGGTTCAGACCGAACTGCTCGTGCGAGTACTTCTCCCAGCCCATGGTGGACATGACCTCAACACTGAGGGATGGGATGCCGCCGGGGATAACCGACATCTTGTAGTCCTTGTCTTGTGCGTCGAAGACCTCGAAGCAAGGCAGAGAAGCGACACGGGCAGTAATACCCTGCTCTTTGAGGGTCTTGACGGCCTCCAAGCAGAGCGAAACCTCAGATCCAGTGGACACGAGGGTGATCTGAGCATCCTTGTCCTCAAGAGCGACGTAACCGCCCTTGATAGCCTTCTCGAGTGTTGAGCCCTCAAGCTGAGGAAGGTTCTGACGGGTAAGGGCAAGGATGGATGGCGTGCCCTTGGAGGTAAGAGCCATGTAGTAAGCAGCAGAGCACTCGTTACCGTCGGCTGGGCGCCACACCATCATGTTGGGTAGAGCGCGGAAGTGGGCAAGAGTCTCGATAGGCTGGTGAGTAGGGCCGTCCTCACCGAGACCAATGGAGTCGTGGGTGGCAACGTAGATGACACGCTGGTGTGAGAGCGAAGAGAGACGGACGGCACCGGCAGCGTATGAAACGAAGTTGAGGAAAGTACCACCGGCGGGGATGATGGTACCGTACGCGGACATACCGTTCATGATGGCAGCCATGGCATGCTCACGGACACCATATCTTAGGTATCGGCCAGACCACTCACCAATACCAAGGTCCGGAGGCTGGAAGTCAACAGCCTTCTTCCACCGAGTGTTGTTGGAACCAGTCAGATCGGCGGAACCAGAGAGAAGCTCTGGCACAACGTCGTGGATAGCCTCCAAGACGCTCTCGGAGAGCTTTCTTGAGGCGATGGCAGGGTCAGAAGGCTTGTATGTGGGAAGGGCCTTCTGCCAGCCTTCAGGGAGGTCGCGAGTCAATCGTCGAGAAAGGTCGGCGTGGAGATCCTTGTACTCCTCGCCATACTTCTGGAAGAGCTTGTTCCACTCCTCCTCAGCAGCGGCACCCTCGGCGGCGTGCTGGTGGTACATGTCGTAGACCTCCTGAGGAACAGCGAACATCTTCTCAGGGTCGAAGCCGAACTTCTCCTTGACCTGCTTACAGTCGTCGGCCTTGAGGGGGTTGCCGTGGACACCGCCGGTACCCTGGAGCTTGGAGCCGAAACCGATGGTGGTGGTGAGCTTGATCATCGAGGGCTTGTCGGTGACCTTCTTGGCCTCTGCGATGGCCTTCTCAATGCCCTCAAGGTCGTTGTCACCGTCCGCAACGTGCTGGACGTGCCAGCCGTAGGACTCGAATCGCTTCATGACGTCCTCAGTGAAGGCGCACTTGGTGTCACCGTCTGTGATGTGTTAGCTCCAAAATTTATATATCCTTCTACTGCAATCTTACCAATGGAAATGTGGTTGTCATCGTAGATGGCAATGAGGTTTCCGAGCTTCAAGTGACCGGCAGTTGAGGCAGCCTCGCTGGCAATACCCTCCATAGCGCAGCCATCACCGAAGAACATGTAGACGGAGTTGTTGATCAGCTCGTAGCCAGGCTTGTTGAAGACGGCCGCAGTGTGCTTCTCAGCAATGGCGAGACCGACGGCATTGGCGAAACCTTGACCAAGAGGGCCAGTGGTAACCTCGATACCGGGTGTGTCGTGGGATTCGGGGTGACCGGGGGTGATGCTGTCGATTTGCTAGAGCGGAATTAGCGTTGGAATTTTCTTGTAATCTCCGTTACTTACACGGAAGTTCTTGAGGTCGTCAATGCTGACGTTGTAGCCGAAAAGGTGGATCAGCGCATACTGAAGCATGCATCCGTGACCGTTGCTGGGCAAGATCAGCTTCTTATTCCAAGCAAATTAAATGTAGCAAACGCGCAAAGCTATTTTCGGGCTGAAAAACCGCCAATTGGGTCAAAACATGTTTGCGGAAGTTTGCGCATTCTCATCTGGACTCCCCAAAATGCTTCCAGATGCAATACACAAATTACCACTGCATTTCCATGACCGGCATATGTCGATGCAAAATATGAAAAGTACGTACGAGAGGACGAATCGGTCGCGGTTGACCCAGTTGGGGTTCTTGGGGTTAAAAGTCATGAACTTGTTGAACACGACGTGGGCGACCGGTGCCATGCCCATAGGGGCACCCGGGTGGCCGGAGTTTGCCTGGAAGGTGGCATCGACCTGTGAAAACACCAAATGTCAGCCATTGACTTCTTTCCTTGGCCCCAAAGTCCTGCCGCGACTTTGTTGGGAGGAAAATGTGGGCAGCGGGGTACGCGTTGATAATGGCGGGGCCGCGATAAAGCAGAGGACTGACGTACCGCTAGGGTTCGGATGGTGTTGATGGCGAGCTCATCAGTCTTTCCGTACGGCATGATGGGCAGACTGTCGATGGGGAGAAGATTGAAGAAAAGAAGTTCGCAGGTGCTAAGGAGAGGAGTTTAGGTTTTGTAGTATAGTGGGGTGCTAGGGTGCCGTCATTGCTGCCCGCTCACGTATGATGTGCCAGAGTGGACGTTTTAGTGGGGTCTTCAGAGGCCGATTACATCAACCAGTCGCCGCTCCTCCTCCGTACATGCGCCCGGCTAGGATAGAGTAAGCAACATGGACCTATCGCGAGTCTAGATACAAGGAATCCCGCAAACTGACTGTCCGTTACTCATCTCTTGCCTGGAGCAGCTTTGCCTCTGCCTCTGTATTCGTCATGCGCTGCCGAGAACCACCGCAACACGGATCACAGAGCCCCGGTCGCGAAGCCAGCTTGTTCAAACTCTTCACTCTGGTAAATCACAGCGAACAGGAATTCTTCCGGGCGCCTATCGCGACACCGGTTTCGGCGCCGCGGCCGAAGCGGACAAGAGTCGATTGAGGCTCAAGTCGTGGACCCCCAAATTCAGCGCCTTAGAAGAGCCGTTTACCCTATTCTCCGAGGGTACACTGCGAGATTGCAACGACGTGGGACTAGTTTTCAGGACAAATGGATAAATCTTGATAACATGATCCATGGGCGAGCGGCGCACACGGGCGAGCGGCGCACCCCACCAACTTTACTCACCTTACTGATCTTAATCTACAATGGCTCAACGCAGCGCTACTCAATTACTATCAAATGAAGCAGATATTCAGCTTGCTATCTCATCTATTAATGCGCACCAGATCCAAGGTACCCGTACTGCTGCAGTAGTCTACAACGTAGCCGAAACAACGCTCCGCCGCCGACGCGCTGGTATACCTGCCCGACGCGATTGCCCGCCCAACTCGAGGAAGCTTACCCAGAGAGAAGAGGAGGTGATTATTAGCTATATACTTCAGCTAGATCTGCGTGGATTTGCGCCTACCTACACAGCTGTATGTGATATGGCTGATAAGCTGCTGGCTGCGCGTGGTGGAGAGCAGGTTGGAGTCAACTGGCCATCTACCTTTGTTAAGCGTACAGACAGTCTTCGGACGTGTTTCAACCAAGCGTACGATAGGCAGAGAGCTCTTTGTGAGGATGCAACATTAATAAAGAGGTGGTTTAAGCTTGTAGAAGAGACAAAGGCTGAGCTAGGTATCTGCGATGAGGACGTCTACAACTTTGATGAAGCTGGCTTTATGATGGGCAAGATTACAACGCAGCTAGTTATAACAGGAGCAGAGAGGAGAGGCAGGCCGAAGAGTATTCAGCCAGGCAATCGCGAGTGGGTAACGCTGATCGCTGCTATCAGCGCTGCTGGCTGGTCAGTCCCACCGTTCCTCATCTTCGCTGGCCAGTACCACCTATCAGCCTGGTATAAGGAAGCTGAGATCCCACGCGACTGGGCGATCGCAGTCAGCGATAATGGCTGGACGAATAATGAGCTTGGAGTTGAGTGGCTAAAGCACTTCAACGCTCACACGCAGGCTCGTAGTGTAGGCGCGCGTCGCCTGCTTATTATTGATGGCCATAAGAGCCACCAATCTCTAGAGTTCCAGGAGCTCTGCAAGGAGAACAATATCCATACGCTCTGTATACCTCCTCACTCATCTCACCTACTCCAGCCACTTGATGTTGGCTGCTTCTCGCCATTGAAGCGCGCGTACAGCCGTGAGGTGGAGAGCCTTATGCGCAACCACATCAACCACATCACCAAGCTAGAGTTTCTGCCAGCGTTCAAGGCAGCATTTGATCAAGCGTTCACGCCAGCCAATATCTGCTCAGCCTTCCGCGGCGCAGGCCTTGTTCCTCTACAACCAGAGGCTGTTCTATCAAAGGTAGATGTACAACTGCGTACACCTACTCCTCCAGCAGCTCTGCCAGAGGCTCCCTGGGTAGCTCAAACGCCGAGCAACGCGCGTGAGCTTGAGGCTCAGTCAAGCCTAATACGTGAGCGCGTGCGCCAGCACAAGAGCTCATCACCAGCTTCAATTATTATGGCGATTGACCAGCTAAAGAAGGGCGCCGAGGTGATGATGCTCTCTGCTGAGCTGATGCGCGATCGGATCTCTAGTCTTGAGAAGGCCAATAGCGCAGCCTCAGAGCGTAGGCGGCGCTCTAAAAGGCGTATACAGAAGCATGGAGTACTCACAAAGGGAGCTGGAGAGGATATACTGGCTCAAAATGAGGCTGACCAGCAGATTGCTCATGAAGAGCGTCAAGGAGGAGCGCGATCAGGCCTCAGCCAGCGGGCTCAAAGGCGCTGCACTAGGTGCAAGGAGACTGGGCACAACTCGCGCACATGCAAGACTGATACTATTAATATAGAGTAATCTACTGTATCAATATCTAGCAATAATATTATCGCGTTGTTGAGATGCATCGCTTTAAAGTTGCAAAAGTTGGTGGGGTGCGCCGCTCGCCCGTGTGCGCCGCTCGCCCATGGATCATGTTAGCGCCGGTGCTATTCTTGTCCGTTGTTTGGCTAATCTACAGCCTCACCAGACGACATGCCAAGGCCGATGGGGAACACGGAAACACATACCAACTGTTATATGACTATTACTGCGCTGCATGTCTCACACTTCAGCTGTGTCTACAAATAAGAAATAACAAATGAGCGCTATGGGTATCTATCTTGTAATGTACAAGTGTGCTAAGAAATGACAGTCATGTCCATGGCCGGCCTTGCCCTTTGTCCTCCATTAGAAAATCTATACACAAGAAAACGGCTATAGTCAAGAAATGAACGTCATCTTACAATATCTCACCTCCTGGCAGGGTTTCCCCATCCAACTTCCAGGAACAAGTCATCTCCCTTCTTCCTCGGCGTCAATTTCGGAACCCAGACGGGACTTGTTAATCCATCCACATCAACATCCCTCCCGATGTTCAATTCACTCATTTCGTCCCTTTTCCGCCTCACGTTCAATGGCATTACAACGTCTTCCTCGTACATGACGGGACTTTTGCCCCAAGCCCCACTTTGCACCCGACTTTTCCGGTCAATGCCGCTTTTGGAAGCGGGTGTTGTGCTCCAGGACTCAGTGCTGTTACTGCGCATATGAGTGTGGACTCTGCGAGGGGGACTGGTAACGCGGGGCGGGGATGTGAAGGGATCGCGGTGTGGGCTGTTGAGCCTGGGACGTGATTCGAGCAGTAGCGGAGGCAAAGCGTTGTTTCGTTTTTGAAGAAGGCTGGAAGGGTCTGGGCCTCTGCGCGGGCTGTTGAAGTTGTGGTGTGGTGGGCTCTTGGGACTGCGTGGAACCAGTTGATTTGATGCGCGCGGCACCTTTGGGTAACGCAATTTGGAAATTGGAGACTCAGCTACAGGGGAAAGCTGTTGCTTGTTACTGCTGCTATCGTCGGATAGCTGTTTGTCGTCGTCTTCATCTTCGGGCGTGGGGTCATCGCGGTCTACAGTCTCGAAAGATGTCTGACTAGACAGCGAGTCACGAATATTAGTCGAAGCACGGGTTGTAGTATGGGACAGTGTGCTACTGTGCGACTTCTTGGACTTGGTTTGCGCAGTTTTTGGTGACTCTTTCGGACGAACCATGTGCGCCGAGCTAGCTTTCGGTGTAATGTCCCGGTTCCGGTTGTTGGAGAAGTAGTAGTCGATGATATCGCCAGAAGTGTTGGTATCGCGTGAGCTGGCAGTCGTAGCCTGGGACTCGTATGAAATGGTGGAGGTCATTTGAAACGGAGGCGCTAGGCGAGGACGTGTCGCGGGTTGCGGAGGCTGAGGCGAATCGTTCGCTGCGGCGATAATCCGCTTCGGCTGGGGTCTTTCGTGGCGGATGGGAATGTCGAGAAACAACTCTGATCGTCGACCTGCTTGTCGGTTGTTGGCGGTGGGGTTCGGTGCTGCCCTAGAGGTTTGCAGAGCACGGATAGGTGGGATGGGGACTGGTGGCGTAGGGAGGAGCACTGAAGATCTTCTATGGGGTGGCAATTCGTCCTCTTCGAAGACTGTCTCCTGTGTCATAGTACTGACAGGCCGGAAGGGTGTATTGTTTTGGGTTTGTTCCTGGACTGGCGCTTTTCTTTGCAGACCGGCGGGATTGACGGCCTTCTTAGGCGCCAGAGGCTTTCCATCCAGTTCCGCACTGATTGCCACGCCAATCTGATCGAGCGGCAGAGAGGAATTCGAGGAGCTGTTGGATGTCCCTACACCGAGGCGTTGCACTGGGCGAACCGTTCGTTGGTTGCCAACTCTGCCGAGAGTTGGCGGGGGCCTTGGAATCGGTGGGTGTTGCTGTGAGACCTCAAGCCCACTTTCTATTGGAATATAATGTGAGAAACGTGACGACGATTGCTTCTCATGTCCCCCCTGGCTTATCTCATCCGAATCACTGCTACGCTCCCTGCGTCTTCGCAAACAGATACTCAATGCCATAAGTCCGATGGCCATGATGAAAGCTGCTACAGCTGCCACTGATAGTCCGGCAATTTGTGCGGGTGTCATCTTTGGAGAAACGTTTGTCGTCTTGACGGAGGAGTCAGGGGTAGATGACGCCGAGGCAGTGGCGGTGGGAATTGAAGAGATAGAGTCGGTTGAAGCGGACCGGGTCGAAGTTGTCTGAGTCGGGAGAATTGATGTGATTGTTGGGGTGGTCGTAGCTGTTGCCGGTATTGAGGACGGAGCCACTGTGCGAGTCGGGCTGGTCACAACGTAGGTAAGAACGCTCTTAGTTGGCAGTACAGCATTTTGTTGCCCAAGGCAAATTCCATAGGACGAGCTAAGTGAGGACTTGGTGTATTTCACGGAGCACGACAGATAAATGCAACCCAGGGCGACTTCACCTAGTGACTCTCCTGTATTACTATAACGAGAACAAAGGCATTGAAGACTCTCTTGACCAGAGCATGCGACCGGAAAGCTTTCGTCCAGCGAAGACTGTACACATGACTGAGCACAAGAAGGTACGTTTTGTTGTAGCGTCTGGGGAAGCGACTGTGATGTGGGAGCGGCAGTAGGAACTGCCTGGACGGGCGAAGCTAATATTACAAAGACTGATGAAATCCATGGCCTTTTAAAATGGCTCAACAGCATAATTGTACAGGGCCTGGATAGACATGAGCTAAATCATTTGGGATAGACGCGGAAGTATACTTACTACGAGACTTAGACATGAGGCAAGGTACAAGGAAACGCTGAACCTGCAGCAGAATGGACAAGGAAATTGAAGGAGAAAACTCAAGGAAATTCGTAACGCGTCTCCGTCTCATGAAGCTTTGTGATGTATCCTAACAGAAGCCAGCGGGAGATGGTAGGCTGACAATATGTATCAGCATCTTTGCCAGCCGCCATGTCTGAGCCTTGCCAGAGCAACCGCTGAGGCGCCAGCTTTGTGAATCTGGAAGTATGGTAAGCGCTCGGAATATTGCCAGAGCATGATTGACTGGAAAGTCGTCGGTTGCACGACGTGGTGGTGCAGATGTGCTATTCTAGGCGCTGGAATCGTGGGCTAAGCGCTGGGGTTCAGGCTAGGCTACCACGTCAGCCAGTGGTTGCACGGCTCCTATGCAAACTTCGCGCATAACACCAAAAGCGAGGCTTGGCCTACGTGCATTTCGCGCGACGAAAATACGTTGCAGTTCAGGGATGGCGACGATCCGAAATCCGCGTCACTGGTAAGTGGCTGACGACGCGTTTGCGAGAGTCGAATTAACGCGGTCCTGGGCTGACGATGTCATTGACGATCTAAGACATGCCAGTTGTCGGTTGGCGGTATCTAGCCTTAGACTATTGCATATCTTAACCAGAATTCAAGTTCATGACGTTATATCGCCCAACGTCGGTGCATTTACATGAGGTAACAGGGGCGAAAAACAATGGCAAAGTGCTCATCGCCGTCCAAATCAACTCGGCGGAAGTTTACAGCCGTTAGCTATCGATGAGCATCTTGGCGCATCACATTTGGAAGTATTTCCATGAGCTGACAGGCGGTAATGACTCGAGAAAAAGTATCGAACTCGTGGCTGCTTTTCGAGCGGAGACTAACCCGTCTCAGCAACAAAGTCAATGTGCTGTGAGCCAATGCAAAATAAATGATCTGTGGAGCGTGAAAAGCGCGATGACCTGATGGTTGGACCAGAGCAAGTCGAGGCGGAAGACTCCTTCCTCGGCAAGGTACGGTACATCAAGATCAAGTGTGGTAGATCAGGGCGCGGGACGAGTTCATCGTGTCGGGTCATTGGCGCTGCAGCCTAGCTGGGTAATCCTGGAAGTACGTGATGTGCTAGTTGAACTTTGACGGTACAGAAGGAGCCGGATAGAGAAAGGACAGGTCAGCTTAAAAGAGGCAAATCTGACCATCGTGTCAGGGGCCGGGACTACTGGAAGGATTGGAGCTGTGCTGCGAGAGTAATCACGGCCTTGTATCCAACCACTCCGACATGATGTGAGATGGTAGTATCCGGTGTCGAGACAGGCTAGACCCGGCTGTCTACATACTAGTCAAGCAGGTACGAAGAGTATCCCAAGGTATCGGCATCTGCTGTGGTGGTAGCGCCGTTGAGATGTAGCGGTCCGAGCAATTTCCCCTTTTTCACCGGCACTTACAGATGGCTACTGCTCCCACGTGTGGTTCGTGGGTCGTCCCGCCTGGCTGACTCATGAAGGACGACGTAGCGAGTGTGGAGGTAATGAAGGTGGACAAAGGCAAAGTTGTCGTCTTCTTGTGCCGCGGTAGAGGGCATGTGCTTTTGTTATAGTGGGTGTTATAACGGCTAGACTTCCAGAAGGGGTGCAGGCATTGACAAGGCGCAGATAGCCGTGGAGCAACAATTGGAGACTACACGCCCAAGGCTGAGGCAAGACGGCAAAGACGATGAAGGCGCTCATGTCTAGCTGCAGGCGAGATCGGGATGTGGCAGAAAAGCGAGGATATTGGGAAAATCCAAGCTTGTGATGGCGCAATGATTGGCCAAGGGAATGCGCGAGTCGGGGAGATGAAGAGGCCATGCGACGGAGGTTTGGCGACTGTTCGCGTACTGCGGAGCTAGCCGGAAGGGGACTAGAGGCAATAGAGGTTGGAGATGAGCGAGCAAGCGATTCAAGTGGCGGGACGACGTGTCGTTGCACACGGTCTGCAGTGCTGAACGATGTCTCCTATCAGGGCAGGGAAGAAGGTTTGCATTTTGCAGGCCACTTCAGGAGCAGTGCGAGGATCCGAGGAGGGCGGGACACGAGCAGCAGAGTGCAAGACACGAAGAGTAAGAAATAGAAGTCTATACGCAGCGTAAGATTTTCAGGTAAGGGCCAGGGACCGGCTGCTTGTCCGAGCGCCGGGCCCTCTTCTTTTTGATGGACCTCTCCAAACCTTCTAGAAGACGTCTGGCGTGCTAGTCAGACCTTTTGCGGGACGGGATTACGGGAGCATCTCTTCGACAGCTTCAGGTGCAGCCGCCTCGGCTTAGTGGCCTCGTCGGCAGCGAATGGATGGGTCTTGGTTACTGCTCACCTGCAGCAGAGGGCCTGTCGTGCTGTCGTGTCCAGAGCGGCTGCTACTAATCTAATCACAAGTTACGGTGAGCGAGGGTGAGTGAAGAGGCAACGATAGACGTCTGCCACATAGTTTTGTATGTTTTGTATGTTTTGACGGTTGCGAATGTACGGTAGACGTGCCCAAGGGTTGATAGAAACGACAAACGTCAGCCTACATAGTCAGCACAATGGTTCCCTCGACGCTGGCACTGGAATTGCGATGTGCACTGGTCATGGTTGACAGATCGGAGGGTTGTGCAACTGCACTCAAGTGGCCCGCGCCTGCCCATCCTGGATGCATGCATGGCCTTAACCATTTCGGCAAGCGCGTCTCCTTTCGCCGTCTTCTTCAGACCTTCCAGTTCCTCATAGTCGGCTCTTGTTTCTTTGCTTGCTTCTCGCACACGTCAACCTAGCCCTGTCTCGTCAGATTGATTGCCGTGCCACTGCCCACTCCTGGCCAAAGTGCGCTGTCGCTGTCGCTGTCGCTGTCTCTGAGTCTGTTTCTTGTTGCGACGTCCCAAGCCCTGACGCCGCCCGGCCAGTCCTTTTTCCCCCAGCCGACCGACCCACCCCCCGAACTGGAACCGACCTTGCAGCAGCCCTGAGACCTCGGAGTGACTGCCACTCTCGTCGTCTCTCATACGCCAGCCATCCCTTCACTCCTCGCACTCTATCCCTTCACACACACTTCCGATCATTCGACACGCTCTTGTTGCTGTTGCCATTGAGGCCTTCTTTGTAATCACTGGTGAGCCTCCCCACACACACGGCCCTTTGCGCCCTGCATCAGACGTCGTCGTCGCCGCCGCCAACGCGCCAGGCACACGCCATCGCTCCCCCCGTTGCCCAAGACGGCCCTATTCGCCGAGCCCATCGTCTGCATCGACTGATCGCCGCCGTTTGCTGATTGAGCTTCTGTTGACATCCACTGCCAGATTTCCGCTTTGGCCGGCCTATACGGAAACATTGCGACGTACTACCACCCTAATAATCACACGCCACACCACCCCCTACGGCCATCATGGGTTGCGGAATGAGCACAGAGGAGAAGGAGGGCAAGCAGAGAAATGAGGAGATTGAGAACCAGCTCAAGCGCGACAAGATGATGCAGCGCAATGAAATCAAGATGCTGCTGCTCGGTCAGTAATGCTTTGTTTATCCAACAGCACCCTCTAATCCCCTCCAGGTGCCGGTGAATCTGGAAAGTCAACCATCCTCAAGCAGATGAAGCTTATCCATGAGGGCGGCTACTCACGCGACGAGCGCGAGTCGTTCAAGGAGATCATCTTTAGCAACACGGTCCAGTCGATGCGCGTTATCCTCGAGGCCATGGAGTCGCTCGAGCTGCCACTTGATGACCAACGCGCCGAATACCACGTCCAGACCATCTTCATGCAACCTGCACAGATCGAGGGCGACAGTCTACCACCTGAGGTCGGAAACGCCATCTCTGTCCTGTGGAAGGATGCCGGCGTGCAACAGTGTTTCCAGCGCTCGCGCGAGTACCAGCTCAACGACTCTGCCAAATAGTGAGCGCCTTCCTGACCATGTATGCGCATCCTGCTAACTGCTATAGCTACTTTGACTCAATTGACCGCATTGCTGCGCCCGACTACATCCCCAATGACCAGGACGTGCTCCGATCGCGTGTTAAGACAACTGGTATCACCGAGACTACCTTTATCATCGGCGACCTCACATATCGCATGTTCGACGTCGGTGGTCAGCGATCAGAACGAAAGAAGTGGATACACTGCTTTGAGAATGTCACCACCATCCTGTTCCTCGTCGCCATCTCCGAGTATGACCAGCTGCTGTTTGAAGACGAGACTGTCAACCGTATGCAAGAAGCCCTTACATTGTTCGACTCCATCTGCAACTCGCGGTGGTTCGTCAAGACATCCATCATCTTGTTCCTCAACAAGATTGATCGTTTCAAGGAGAAGCTTCCCGTCAGCCCAATGAAGAACTACTTCCCCGACTACGAAGGCGGCCCAGACTACGCTGCCGCATGCGACTACATTCTCAACCGATTCGTCTCGCTCAACCAACACGAGACCAAGCAGATCTACACTCATTTTACTTGCGCCACAGACACGATGCAAATTCGATTCGTCATGGCTGCTGTAAACGGTATGTTCATTTCTCATTACCCAAACCAAATCACACTAACACCTCGCAGACATTATTATTCAAGAGAACCTTCGGTTGTGTGGTTTGATATAAGCGAATGGGCGTCTGAGTACACGAAAATGTTCCGACTTGATCTTGAATCACGGGTTGCATGTCTCTCATGTCGTCCACAGGCGTTGTGGGCTTTGCTTTGCATGCTTGTGCTTCCTGCGTCGAGACATGGCTTTACTCGAGGCCCGGGTCGCTCACTCTTTGATACCCTGCGGGCGGGCTGAGGAGGCCATGGACACACTACCTGCGAAGCGATATTTTCTTCTTTTTTTCTTACTCTCCATCAATTTCCTGGGGTCAAGAGGGGGGATGGGTATTGAATATGTCCCCTACTACAAAGAAACCTTCTATAAGGGCTATGCGAGCGTTGTTTGCTACCGCCGCTGCCCAAGAAGCTTTTTTTTCTAATACTATAAGTTCTTCGAAAATTTCTAACTATTTTCTCATGCACGTCGTTGCTTGTCGTAGTTGTAGTGGCGGTCTTTTTTTTTCTTTGCGCAATTCACGTAGCAGAGCATGCGAAAGTGCGCTCATAGATATATAGTGAGATGATGAATTTACTACTTGAAATGATTGTTAACTTTCTCACTACGTACTCGCACTTTGCGCAACTCGATGCTATGTCATGTCCAATCGTCAAAATTCCGTATCTAATGACGCCTACCTACCTCAATGCACGCCAAACCAAAGTAAAAATAAGCAACAAAAAAAAGTTATCTTATCAAATACCGCAATCCCATCATTCCCATCTATTCTGAAACTCCTGTGATGTAAGTGGCATCAGCCCCCATATACGCCCATCTTCTTTCCTTCTCCCTTTTGCCTACCAGTTTTGCTTTTTCTGTCGTTGAACGGCTGTCCGTCCGTCCAACCCACGCCACCCACATGTCATGTCACACACGTCTTGTTCAACGCCCTCCATACGTCGCCTCAACATGCTTTCCTCGTTTCCCCTGGGTAGACTAGAATACGCTATTTCGAGACACGATACACGCGCTTAAGTTTCTGTTTCCTTGCTCGTACGAGGAGCGTGTCAGTTGGATGTGGGTTCCCCGCAAACCATTGCTTGGATGGTGGGTGCGGGGAGAGGAGGAAATGCCTTGCTTTGTCTTGTCTTGTCTTGTCTTGTTCATGGGATTTGCGAAACAGAGGACCGTGGGT